ACATACACTCGCTCACATGCACACACCCGCACGCTCTCGCGTGCATTCACGCACGCACTCACTTACATGCACACACATACATTCATATATTCTCACCCACCTCTCACCCAACCCTCCCCTCTCTCACACTTGAATCTGTTGGATGAATTTGTATTTGCAGATACATTTTACTTTGGTCAAAAAGCACACATTAATAGACGGTCAGTCAATGTGGTGTTTTCTAAATTCCTACGTTAGAAATAAAACCAGTCTGACTCCAAACCAAAACACAAACAGATTCTAGGCCCAAAACATCAGCCTTCCTGCTCCTCTGATGCTGCTTGGCCTGCTGTGTTCATCCAACTCTACACCTTGTTATCTCAGATTCTAAACAAGGTCTCACACCTAACATGCATTGTCTGACCTAAAATGTTTGTATTGATAAAACCTTTAGTTCTCTTAGGACTGTGAGTTGAAAGGAATTCGGGGATTTACGTTACATATAGATTTAATCAATTAAAACCTTCTAACCGAAGATTTAACAGCATCTTAGGTTTGTTTAGTACATCCTCATCAATGGTGTGAATCTTTTGATCTTTTACTTCTAAATTCTGTATCGGGTACTACCTCTCTCACTAACACCTGAAGAAGGAGTGAGGCTCAGAAAGCTTGTGTTTTCAAATAAACCTGTAGGACTATAACCTGGTGGCGTGTGATTTCTGACTTGCACAGCAGGTTACAGCACAAACAATTTTTGGGAGGAAGGCAAAGAAAAAGAGTGATCTCATAGGGCTGCCACAAGATGTCTCACTCCAACTGGATCTTGACCTGAGTCATGTTGCAAATCTGAAACACTGTTTAAAAAATTGTTCGGTTTTTTTTGCAAGTTACCGGGTCGTCTCCAGCTTTTATAAGACTGGCATTGCTTTTGTGTTTCAGTTTTTGCAGAAGGTATTCAAATTTAATATTTCAAAGGGTCTGGTCCAATTAAATTGCTGCTGTTTGGAGCAGCAAGCCCTCAACATAAACTGTCAGTGGCTCAGACATTCCCTCCCAATCAATTGGGTTTTTCTTAATCGCCACCTAGTTTGTGGCTCAAGGGTTCATAATTTTAACAAGAGATAACAAGGTGTAGAGCTGGATGAACGCAGCAGGCCAAGACGCATCAGAGGAGCAGGATAGCTGACGTTTCAGGTCTGGACCCTTCTTCAGAAATGGGGGAGCGTCCAGACCTGAAACATCAGCTTTCCTGCTCCTCTGATGCTGCCTGGCCTGCTATGTTCATCCAGCTGTACACCTTGTTATCTCGGACTCCAGCATCGGCATTCCTACTATCTCTGGATAATTTTAACAATGCATCTGACAGACCAGCTGGTGCCTTTGTAACTTGCACTAACATTTGAGTCTGTGCGCCTTGCCTTTTTTTTTGCAGCTTGAGGGCTTCTTAACCTAATGGCTTTAGCCATCAGAAATTGCAAAATTAGGCTGCCATTATACTGAAATGAACCAGCATGCAATATGCTCGTTGTCAATTCTCAGACCAGTCACCATGAATCATCATTCACGATTGAGACCGTGAATGAGAATCGCTTTTTTTTACTATTCAAAGAGAATTCTCATGTTTGAAAAAGGCCTGGAAATACCACAGAGTTCACTGATTTGGACTATCGATGGTTCTTCAGAGCAGAAAACAATCTGTAGAATGTCGCTGCTGTTTCATTTCAAAGGAGCTCAAACTGGAAAAGTAGAAGCCTCTTGCTTTGTCCTCTAGCAGGATTTTTTTTTTCTAGTCTCTGTATCGGCCACAACTGGCAGCATTCTCCCCTCTGCATTGAAACGTTGTGGGTTCAAGCCCAGTTGGTTGAGCAGGCTCAAGGGGTCAAACGGCCATTCTCATTTCTTATGGTCTTTTCCAGAACACTGAGCCAATTTAATGTTGGCTAACATTCCAGTCCAGCGCAGTACAGGAAGCATGCTACACTCGAGCAAGTTCTGTATCTTGATGTATTAAACCAAAGCTCCATATTCCCATTTGGGCCAATGACCGAGATCCCATTGCCCTATTTTGAAGGACGGGATATTTTCCCTAACACCTTGATTATCCCTAACTGATGTCACCAAATTAATTAGTAGTGCAAATTAATTGCCATGTTCTAACTTGGAAATTAGTTAATTGGCCTTGAAGTGCCCTGGGCATTGTGAAAGGTACCATTTGAGTACAAGATTATTTTTCCAAAAGATTTAATTGTCTCAGTTAAAGTTGGCTGATGTGCAAACCTTACTCCTATGTTGAAGAGTATTCGTTTTCTATAATTGGCTGCACACTGCTGAAATGATTATTTTATCCCTTTTTTCTGTTCCAGTTCATCCTGAATGTTCGTTTGGATTACAGAATCTCCTGCCTTCTGTCCATATTTAAGCGAGAGTTTGACGAAAGCAATGCACATCATCAATCAACTGACTCCCCACCAAGCGTAGGATCAGCTTCTCAGGAGGGTGCAAGTAATGTTCCAGGTTTGTGTCAAGTGGTTGGAATGAACGAAAATACTTCAATTCTGCGTTTGGCGTAATGTATTGCCATGTTAACCAAAGCTTCTGATTAATTGGCCCCAATCATTCCAGGAGATGCTGGATAACAAAATTAAACTGGAAATGTACAAAGTCCTCAATTTTTGAAGAGATTTTGGAGATGTGTGGCCAATAAGTAACTGGAATATCAAATTTGATCCCAGTGCAAGGATTGATTGATATGGTATTGTGTTCACTGCATTCAGCAGTTTCAGTAAACTCTCGGTTTCTTGGATTTATTTTGTTTTACAGGGACATTAGATTTCGAGCACATTGAGGAACAGGCTGAAGGGATCTTCGGTGGAAGGCAAGTATTAACTGCCAGTAGTCTGTTGAAATGCATCAGACACTGGTATGAATGAGGCACCCTGTGTTATACTCAGTTATTGTCCCTTGTCCATTTCCAGTAATGGGTTAAACAATGGGCACCCAGCTGGGGCTGGGCTGTCGGAGCACAATTGCCGAATGCTGTGTTGAAGTTGTGGCATCTCGACGTGAAGGGGCTTGGGAATTAAGTTATGTAACCGAATGCTGCAGGTTCTTCAGAGCACCAGCTGCAAAGCAAGTGTTGACAGTCTGGGCATATCCATGCAGTTTGTCATCTTAGCTTCTGAGGCTTCTGAGTAGGTGGAACACAGCGTGGGGTAATTTATCTAAGATAATAAAGATACGGAGGGAGCAGGCACATGTCTTGATACCATGACTGTATTGCTTCCAGCGTAGTTACTGGCTGTACACGAGTGGTGGGTGTTACTGTTCCCTGAACCCTTCACTATCCCAGTGACTGCGAACACTCCGTGTTCGACCGGTATATGTACACCCTGTGATGTGATGAAGTAGGTCCGTCTTCCTGACCATTTTCTTCCACTCCAGAGGCTTGAGCACAATCTCAGGGCTGGCTAAGGGAGCGCTGGTACTATATTTCAAGCTGGCCCTTTAAATCAAGGCCCTGTCTTCCCCCCGCCCTCGCCAGGCCCAGAATATTATAATGGGGGGTGGTGGAAGAGGAGTTTACTTGGCCATTATTTAATCCTTGAGTAATGTCACAAAAACAGATTGCTCTGTTATCTTCACGGAACAGTTTGTGAAACCTTATTTACAGAACTTGACCGTTGTGTTACTGCATTGCAATAATGACTGATGTTATGAAAATTGCTGTAGAAATGCAAGTTTTTTTGATTTTTGTTGACACTTGCCACCACTTGTGTTACGTCTTTGTTCTTGAAATGCAGCGATGAAAACACTCCATTAGACCTGGACGATCATGGGGGCAGAACGTTTCTACGGGTCTTGCTTCACCTTACGATGCACGACTATCCACCTCTGGTATCTGGAGCCCTCCATCTCCTATTTAGACACTTCAGTCAGAGGCAAGAAGTTCTTCAAGCATTTAAACAGGTATCTAAAGGAATCTTTTTCACTCCTGATTGGCGATGTAAGCACTTCTCATTCTGCAGGTCACTCCTGTGATCTGAGGATTTAGCAAAAGTTGACAAAATGAGGGAAGTGCTGTATTGTTGTACACCTTGAAGTCCTATTCACCAACGAGCAATTGTGGCCATCAGTGGGACTGCGTTGCTTGGACAGATGTGGATACACACAAAAGCAAAATTCCGTAGATGCTAGAAAGCTGAAACTAACACCGAATACTGGAGAAACTCAGCAGGTCTTGCAACATCTGTGGAGAGAAACAGAATCAACGCTTCGAGTCCTGTACAACTTTTCTTCAGCCCTGGAGACTTTGGAGTTGTGAAGAAGAGTCGTACTGAACTCAAATGTTAACTCTGTTTCTCTCCACAGATGCTGCAAAACCTGCTGAATTTCTCCAGCATTCTGTGTTGTTGCAGGCTTATATATGTTGCGTAGCTTGGCTTGCTTCCATGAATGTTTGGTGAATGCTTCAATGTACAGCCCCCATAAAAATACTAGAACACATTTCTAATGGTTTATTTTAATAAGCCTGCCTTGGTTAAGCACATGTCTCCAGAGGCTTGGATAATTCCCTCCTGAGGACGGACAGTTTGAACTTAGAAATGTAGGATTTGGCAGCAGGAGTAGGCCATTTTGACCTTTGAACCTGCTGCACCATCAATAAGATCGTCACTGACTGGTTTTGGTCTCGACTCTACTGTCCATATCTGTCTCAATAACCATCAATTCCCTTGTCAATCAAACACCGAACTAACTCAGCAAATGTCACTTACCCCTCATGAGCCCAATCTTGTCCAGGTTTTGCTGCTTTTGGGCACTGACTGACTGTTGTACCTGAGGGAGTTGCAAATTGGTGCTGAACATTATGCAATCTTCAGCGAACATCTCCACTTCTGAACTTATGATGGAGGGAAGGTCATTAATGAAGCAGCTGAACATAATTGGGCCTCGGTCACTACCCTGAGGAGCTCTTGCAGAGATGTCCTGGAGCTGAGAAAATGGATGTCCAGCAACCTCAACCAGTTTCCGACATGCTACGTATGGCTCAAGCCAGTGTAGAGTCTTCCTCCCTGATTTCCATTGACATTAGTTTTGCTGGGGCTCCTTCCATTGTTGAATATGGCCTTGTGTCAAGGGCTATCTTCCTCCCCTTGTCTCTGGAATTCAGCTCTCTTGTCCCTGTTTGAACCAAGGCTGTAATGAGGTCAAGAGCTGAGTGTCCCTGGAGGAGCCCAAACTTGAGTGACAGTGAACTTGTTATTGCTAAGCAAGAGCTGCTTGATAGTACTGTTGAAGCCCCTTCCATTACTTTACTGATGATGGGACTGTAATTTGCCCATTGGATTTATTCTGTATTTTAAACACAGGACACAGTCTTGGTAATACTCAATGCCTTCAGCTGTTTCCTGGTATCCTGGAGAGTGAATAAATTGACAGCTCTGATGCTAGAAACCCCCATCGATGATTATGGTATTTGGCGTGCAATTAGTCCTTCACCAGATCGACCACCTCCATGTTTAGGTCTACCTGGAGCTGCTCCTGGCATGCCTTGAACCAGAGTCGATCCCCTGGCCTGTTTGTTAATGGTAGAATGAGAGATGTACCAGATCATGAGGTTGCAGATTGTGTTGGAGTATGATTCTGTTGCTACTGATGGCCCACAGCGTCTCATGGCTACCCAGACTGAGTTACGAGATCTGTTCATTTGTCACAGTGGTAATATCTCAACATAGTGTTTTCTCAATGTGAAGATGGTACTTGGCCTGCAGAAGGACTGTGCAGGGGTCACTCTTACCAAAACTGTCATGGCATGCTGCATCTGCAACTGGTAGATTGGTACAAATGAGGTCAAGTCTGTTTTTCCCGCTTGTTGGTTTCCTCAACGCCTGTCGCAGACCTAGTTTAGCAGCAATGTTGTTTTAGAGCTTGACCAGCTCAGTCAGTCATGGTGCTGCTGAGTTACACTTGAAGGACGATGGGTGGGGTGAAGGCAAAGATTCCGTGTACATTCTGTGGCCTTGCCCACCTCAGTGCTTCCTTTAAATGGTGTCCAATGTGGGGGAGTCCTAAGTCATCAGCTGGGGAGGTGGGGACTTGGCAACCAGTAGGGGGTTTCCTAGCCCATGTTTAACCTGAGACTCCATGTGGTAAGGTGTCAATGCTGAAGGTCACTCCTTCCTGACTGTATACCACTGTGCTGCCACTCCTGCTGGGTTTACCCTGACGGTGGAACAGGGGTAGTGTTGGTGATGTAAGGGACACTATCTGTCTGTAAGGTATGATTCTGTAGTCTTGACTAGTCTATGAGCAGGATCGACAGGGTTGAGTTTACCATTTTCTCTGCACCTAGCTACATGCCATATGCTCTTTCCCGCCTCATCCCTTTGGCACTGTTTGTGGTTTGATACGATTGAGGGACTTGCTAAGCCATTTCGGAAGGCGAATAAGAGTCGACCACATGACTGTGGTCAGGAGTCACGTGTAGGCCGAGCCAGGTAAGGATGGCAGATTTAATTCCCTAAAGAACCAAATGGATTTTCATGACAATGGTTCCATGATCATCATTCGACTTGTGATTCCAGATTTTTTTTAAAAAAAAAAGTGAATTAAAATTCCACCATCTGCTGTGGTGGAATATGAATCTTGATCCCCAGACCATTTCCTGGCTATTTGGATTACTAGTCTAACAAGAGTACCACTATACCATCACCTTTCCTTCACTGTGAGTCAAACCGACTGTCTTAAATTAGTTTTGCATAATTTCATCTCTCACTCTGGAACATGTAGCAAATGTTATCCAATTGCAAAATCACATCTAATGCTGGGCATGGGAATTTTTAGTTTTGCAGGTACGAGCTGCCATCAGCACACCAAAAAGATACTCTGCCAGCCTCCCCAATGACTGCATTTGAATTTCTGTGGTGCCAAGTATTTCGCTGGCTATCCCAAAGACCCACATATCATATCAAACAGAACATCCCTTCAACTGTTAACAATAAGTGAGCTAATAACCGTACCCAGCCAGCCTATGTGTACAAAAAGCCCTTAGTTAGTATTAGTATGTGTTAGTATGTGATTCTGCAGTTGGTCACATACACTGGATGAGTGTGGAAAGAATTATCCTGGCAACCAATTTAGGATTGTCGGTTGGGCTCAGTGTTGTGCACCTGTGTGTGCTGGAAGCTAGATACATTAATACACAGGTCCTGTTCTTTGTGCACATCTTCTTTCTGCCTGCAATGATCCTTTTTCAATGCATCAAAATAGGCGACAGTCATTCTCTGACTCATTGGTCAAAGCATTGCCCTGAGAAATCCATCAAATAAAACTGAAGCAAAGTTTGGTTAACCATCAATCATCCATGAACTGGTGGATTCCCCATGGCAAGTGTATCTACCAATCAGCAGTCATCACTCATGGAGTGCAAATGTTGTTTTACCTTAACTTGGCGAATTGTCTTGATGAGTGTGGGATGATAAGCTTCAACAAAATATGTATCTTTTCAGAAATACTCAAGTTCTGTTCTTCCAAATAAATACAAGTTGCTTATTATCACAGATACTGATTCTTCCTTTTCAAGGAAATGAAATATTGCTTGCGTTGATGCAGTGATTTTTGTCTCTAAAATGAGTGAAGCATGTGGCAGTTAGAAGTCCATTCGTCAGAAATTGAGATGTGGCAGCCCCCTTCATACTGTCGTTAAGGAATTTGCGATCTCATTTCGAGTATTTATGACTTGTGAATCTTTGAAATTAATCCATTTTCTCCACTTCCCCATTATCTGACATAGCCAGCTTCTGCCAGTTTCCAAAGCCACTGGAAGGTGTGCCATTGTGATCCAAGGTGGGGCTACAACACATTTTTTTTTTTTCCCCATTAACCTTCCATCCAAGGATACAATTCCAATGAAGTCAGTCAGCTCGGGCGGCTGGACAGCCAATACAGAGTAACGCCAACAGCGTGGGTTCAATTCCCACACTGCACTGGAAATGGTTACCGTGAAGGAGTCCCCTTCTCAACCCCTCCCATCACGTGAGACGTGGCCTCCCTCAGGTTAAACCATGACCAGTTGTTGCTCTTCAATGAGAGAGCAGGCATATGGTCTAATAGGATGACAGTGATTGTACCACAGTTCCAGTTTGAACTTGTATGTGGGGAAGTATATCCGAATTAACCTGCAACTTCTAATGCTAACAGCCCCAAGTTTACAGTTGGGTTGCCGCACGCAATGTTCTACAAACCGTAAATTCCAGGTTATTTGGCTGCTTGGAGGCTGTTCTGTTGTGTTACTTGCTCATCAGTTATTGAATTCCTGGCTCATCCAGAAGCAAGTAGCTTTCCTTTTAATGTTGGTGCACATGGTCAGCCTCATGAAACGTAAGGACTTTCAGGGTATATTTGATGTTGCAAGACTGGCACCAACTTTCCACCCACATGTATGTTCTTTCTGGAGTTTACAATCGAAGGTTAAGCCGAATGTTTTGTGTCCGAAATGTCTGTCGTGCTCAGTTTGCAAATAGACGAAGCATTTCAGAAGATCCTTCAGGATCTCATTGTCATACCTCCTGTGATGTTCCTCAGGTCCAACTGCTTGTTACGAGCCAGGATGTGGAAAACTACAAACAGATCAAAGCTGACCTGGACCAACTGAGACTGCTGGTGGAGAAGTCGGAGCTGTGGGTCTACAAGGGCCATGCCCATGATGAGGTGATGGAAGGGGGTGAGAGTTCCACAAGCAGCAGTGAACTAAAGAAGAAGAAAGAGGTATATAATGCTTTGCCCTTGACCATGGAAGGCAAGAAACTTGTGCAATTAGCCATGCCTGTTAGCAGTAACAAGCACCATAGATACACAATTGGCAAAACCATGGTTTAAATCCCAGCATTAACAGGGAATGCATTGCATCTGTTCTTTTTTTGTGCTGCCTATTAGCCATGAGAGTGTGAATGTGGTGGTAAACGCGTGGGAGAGGTTTATAATGGAGGGGGTGTTAAGAAAGGCCAGTGCATTCAAGAGGAAAGCAATTATTGCACTGCTAGTGCCTCCTGCTAAGTCCATCCTTCATTAGCATTTGTAACATTGTGAGAATAGAGACTATAAGAATTACTGGAAGGGAAGAAATTTCTGTTGAAGAAGGCTCTTCAGTTCCACTTACTAACTTAAGTTTACACTTTTTTTGGGATATTAACATTTAGCAAGTTGTTTCATTTTTAAGGATTTTTATATAGACTGTCCAAAATGGTTTATTTCCAAAGAACTGCGGATGCTAGGAATCGGAAAGGAAAACAGAAATTGCTGGAGAAACTCAGCAGGTCCGGCAGCATCTGTGGAGAGAGAGCAGAGTTGACCTTTCTGGTCCAGAGTTCTGAAGAAGGGTCACTGGACCTGAAACGTTAACTCTGCTTTCTCTCCACAGATGCTGCCGGATCTGCTGAGTTTCTCCAGCAATTTCTGATTTCCAACAATTTCCACGTCCGACGCCAATTTATATGCTTGACTTTGGTTGTGCTTGGATGGATGGGAGAGGCTGCTGTGGTTCAAGACATTTTTTAAAAGGCTGAACAAATCCATTAACACTCCCCTATAAAACCCGACTAGACTCTGAAAATCTTCTCACGATTCATACCAATAGTCAGTGATTTTTAAAAACTGTGATATTCTTTTAACAAAGAAATACCACTTAATCTAAATAATAAAAGATGTACGTATCTTATTTTACCCTCACACAGGGTGACTTTGTGAAAGGTCAGACTGCCAGCTCAGATGTGGCACCCACAATTGAAAGCACCAGCAGCAAGAATTATAGAGTCATAAAGGAGGTGAGGTTTCTGCGCTTCCCCTGCATGCACCAGCAGCATCATCTAGGCTGCACGGTTGTTTCTGCAAAGCCGATCACTTGCCTTTTGCCTGTTGCAGGTTTTGATCCGACTCAGCAAGCTGTGCGTGCAAGAGGGCTCATCTGTGAGGAAGAGCCGCAAGCAGCAGCAGAGATTACTGAGGAACATGGGCGCCCACACTGTGGTCCTTGATCTTCTGCAGATTCCCTACGAAAAGGTACTGACCGGTCCAGTGTTGCTGTCTATTGTGGTGAAGACGGGATATAAAAGTAGGAATGTTTTTGCGACAGTCATGTTGAGCGTTGTTGCAGCCATACTTGGAGAACTGTTTTGGACTCCTTTTTATTTAAGAAAGGATATAACAGTTCGGAGAAGGATCACTTGACTGCCGGCATGAGGGCGTTATCTGAGGAGGAACAGTTGGGACAGCCTGGTCCTGTAGATATTTTCTAACCAACTTCTCAGATGTTAGGTGCCTCTAGCATTTAGGAGAATGATAGGTGATGTGATTGAGACGTGTAAGATCCTATGCGGATGCTTCCCCTCATAAGAGACTAGAACTAGGCGATAAAATAAGAAGTCTTCCATTTCACACTGAGAGGAGAAGGATTTATTTCCAAGTCCACAAGATGTAGGAGAAAAAGTAGGCCATTGAACCCATTAAGTTCACGCTATCATTCACTGAGGTCATGGCCGATCAGATAATTCTCACCTGAACTTACCTGACTTTTTCTCACGACCCCAAATTCCCTTGCTGACTCGGAAATCTGTCCAGCCTCCGCTTTGAATATACAGTACTTAATGACCCAGCCAATACAGCCCTCTGCGTTAAAGAATTCCATAGATTCTGTAACCAACGAGAGAAGAAATTCCTCCTAATCTATGTCTTAACCTGTTACAAGACACTTCTGCACAAGGGGAAACAACCTTTCTACGTCTACTCTGTCAAATCCTGTAAAAATTTAAGAAGGTCATGAGCAGTGGAGATGGGGTCAGTGAATACTTTTGGGGCAGAGGTAGATAGATCTTTTGACTAACGAGGGAATCGATGTTTACGAGGGGCTAGGCAGGAGTATGGAGTTGAGCCCACCGTTAGATATCAGCCATGATCTTTATCAAGTAGTGGAGCAGGCTCGAGGGACCAAACAGCTGCCTCCTGTTCCTAATGTGGATGTTGGTACACCACATTACAGCCATGAAATCTGAGCCGGTGTATCATTGTGGGCTTATAACCTCAGCAATTGCAACCCTTTAATCAGTGGTTGAATTTTTCAGATTTCCTTTTTAAGACCCAAAATGAACCAACATGATGATCAATTAGGTTGCCAATCTGCAGTTTACCTTTGCCTCACTGATTCTTTTAACCAGAGTGTAATATATCCTCCTGTGAAGCAGCAGCACTGGGGTTGTGCCAGTCAATAACTGTCCCTCTATAAGTCACATTGACTGTTGTGGCCATCAGGTTAAAAATGATGGCAGCGTGCATTAAGTTTATGGCTCTTCTCTACAACATAAATACATGTTCTGTGATAGGTGGCGACTTTGCTTGGTAATAGTCAGCAGTCCATTTTGTATCTCTCCCAATGACTTGCTGGAAATTGGCAAAAGAACCAGAGGAGACATTAAGAATCAGACTTTTGCACAGCGAAAGGAATGTACTACCTTAAAGTGTGGAGGTAGCAGATTTAAAGGGTGGTTTTGAAGTATTAAATTGGATAACCATAAGAAAGAGGAAAATTGCAGGGCTGTGGGAAAAAAGCAAAGAAACAATATTGTTAACTGCCCTCGGAAATGGACTAGTGAGTTGCTCAGTAGCACCAACTGCTATCAAATTCCATGGCAAGAGTAAAAGCAGACAGATCATCCAACATCAACCTTGGCATCAAACGCGACAGAGGTTCACCCAGTCCAGTCAGTCCTGCGAACTTGCATGATACTAGAGAATACGTGAGAAAGGGAACCAGCTAGGGGTCTCCTCTTCAACAGATCAATTAGTTTGTCTTGATGGAGCAAGGTTGGTGTCCATCACGCAGAGTGGCTCAATACCACCATGACTAACCAAGCTGGCCAAGTCCTGAAGGACATATCTGGCAGGCGTGGCCAGCAACCAGTTGTGGGAGAAGCCACATGACAGGAAAAACCGACTTGAACTCTCCCTTGCCACAATCTGCCTTTCACAGACATCTCTACCTCTGTCGATGTCGGGCAGAATGACTACCACACAATCCTGGTGGAGACAAAATGCCACCTTTTTGTGTTGAGGGCATCCACCATTGGTTTATGTGGCACAACAACCCTGTCAACTGGGACAGAGTCAAGGGACCTGCAGCTCAAAGCTGGAGATCCATGAAGTGCTATTTTCTGTCAGCAGCAGCTAAGTTTTATCTGAGATAGTAGGAACTTTCCCTTTCCCTCCCCACCTTTATCTGCTTTCCGGAGGGACAACTCTCTCCGTGACTCCCTCGTCCGCTCCACACTCCCCTCCAGCTCCACCACACCCGGCACTTTTCCCTGCAACCGCAGGAAGTGCTACACCTGCCCCCATACCTCCTCCCTCACCCCCATCCCAGGCCCCAAGAAGACTTTCCACATCAAGCAGATGTTCACCTGCACATCTGCCAATGTGGTATACTGCATCCGCTGTACCCGGTGTGGCTTCCTCTACATCGGGGAAACCAAGCGGAGACTCGGGGACCGCTTTGCAGAACACCTACGCTCGGTTCGCAACAAACAACTGCACCTCCCAGTCGCGAACCATTTCAACTCCCCCTCCCATTCCTCAGACGACATGTCCATCCTGGGCCTCCTGCAGTGCCACAACGATGCCACCCGAAGGTTGCAGGAACAGCAACTCATATTCGGCTAGGGAACCCTGCAGCCCAATGGTATCAATGTGGATTTCACAAGTTTCAAAATCTCCCCTCCCCCCACCGCATCCCAAAACCAGTCCAGCTCGTCCCTGCCTCCCTAACCTGTTCTTCCTCCCACCTATCCCCTCCTCCCACCTCAAGCCGCACCTCCATCTCCTACCGACCAACCTCATCCCGCCCCCTTGACCTGTCCGTCCTCCCTGGACTGACCTATCCCCTTCCTAACTCCCTACCTACACTCACCTTTCCTGGCCCCATCCCCGCCTCTTCGACCTGTTTGTTTCCTCTCCACCTATCCTCTCCTCTATCCCTCTTCTATCCGCCTCCCACTCTCTCCCTATTTATTTCAAAACCCCCTTCCCCTCCCCCTTTTCTGATGAAGGGTCTAGGCCCGAAACGTCAGCCTCTCTGCTCCTATGATGCTGCTTGACCTGCTGTGTTCATCCAGCCTTGCACCTTGTTGTCTAAGTTTTATCTGACTTCAATTTGCAACATTATGTTCTGCACATCCCTTGCTCCACCATCTCGGTGATTCATTGATGCGTGTAGAGGAGAATGCCTGGTGCAGTGCAGCTGCCAACCTGCAGCAACCTACCGAGGCTACTTCAAAAACACCATCCAGACCTGTCACCCCCTCACCGGGAAGTACAGGGCCAGTAGAAGCATGGAGCGCAACTGTCTGCAATCCCCTTCTAAAGCCGCTGCTTCATTCTTGCTCAGTAAAATCCTGGAATTTCCTTTCTCGGAGCACAATGGCTTTGGATCCACCGCTTAGTCTGCAGTATTTGAAAAGGTGGCTCGCCAACACTTTCTCGAGGCTGAGTAGGGATGTGCAATAAATGCTGGGCTTAACAGTGATGCCCACATTCTAGGAATGAATAGTTTACAGGAATGAGTTTAATTGAATAGCCCAACTGAGAAACCAGCAAAGGTAGGGTGGGTCAGATGATGTGTAAATGCATTGTATTATTCAAACGTTCTTTGAAATAAAAAAATCATGAGGGTGGTAAGACGGGTTGCTGATTGGCCATCTTGCACTGTTGCACAAAGCAGCAATCTATCTGTTTGATATTGAAGGCCCTGGGCAAGCTGTTGTTACTTGTGAAAGGTTGAGTGACCTCTTTACTGTTGCTCCCTTCAGGCTGAGGACATTCGAATGCAAGAGATCATGAAGCTGGCGCACAAATTTCTGCAGAACTTCTGCGCTGGCAACCCACAGAACCAAGCGCTCCTTCACAAGCACATCAACCTTTTCCTTACTCCAGGGGTAAGAATATTTCTCAGAACTCTGTAAGCTTTTTTCTGTGGCTGCTTGGTGACTGTGCTAACAGAGAGGGTGTCTGTTGGATTTGGTCTTTTTAGTTGACATTGTCGTGATACCTTTGTTACAGGCTTTCGACACTCCATGTTGTTACATCACGATCACTGCTGTCACAAAGCAAAAACTCAGTTACGACAAAACCAGTAGGTGGGGCAGTGTTGATGCGCTGGGTCTTGTGCCTAGGTTAGGATGGGGAGAACTAGCACTGATGAGTCAACATTCATTGGCAGTCCCAAGAAAGGGCATGTGTAGAAGCTTAAATAGGGATCGTATTATGATAGCAAGTTTTTTTTCTGTTCAATAACCCATCAGGACTCACTGGTGACTGTAGGTGTGTCAGCAGTAGAATGGTACCCAGACAGGAGCCAGTGTGTTTCATAGTGATGGGTGAAAAATGGAACTGATGATGAATACATGAATGTCCGCTCTCAAATAGAACGATCTGAGCAATTCATCTTTTTTTGTTCTTGTGCCAGTACTTTTTTTTTGCCCCCTCTTGCTGGAACAGCAGCTGCCTATCACTTGCTTTCCCTCGTCCTCCATTCTCTCTGCCCCACCATGCCCCCCACTCTGTCGTCCCCTTCTCTCACTCTCCTTCTCTGTCTGTCTCTGTTTCACACACGTTTAAACTATTTGAATTGAGAGAGAACTTGTTGAGTGAGGGTGGAAGGAAAATATATTAAAAAGGCAAGAAATAAACACCTACGCTCGGTTCGCAATAAACAACTGCACCTCCCAGTCGTGAACCATTTCAACTCCCCCTCCCATTCCTCAGACGACATGTCCATCCTGGGCCTCCTGCAGTGCCACAACGATGCCACCCGAAGGTTGCAGGAACAGCAACTCATATTCGGCTAGGGAACCCTGCAGCCCAATGGTATCAATGTGGATTTCACAAGTTTCAAAATCTCCCCTCCCCCTACCGCATCCCAAAACCAGTCCAGCTCGTCCCTGCCTCCCTAACCTGTTCTTCCTCCCACCTATCCCCTCCTCCCACCTCAAGCCGCACCTCCATCTCCTACCAACTAACCTCATCCCGCCCCCTTGACCTGTCCGTCCTCCCTGGACTGACCTATCCCCTCCCTAACTCCCCACCTACACTCACCTTTCCTGGCTCCATCCCCACCTCTTCGACCAGTTTGTTTCCTCTCCACCCCTCTCCTCTATCCATCTTCTATCCGCCTCCCACTCTCTCCCTATTTATTTCAGAACCCCCTTCCCCTCCCCCGTTTCTGATGAAGGGCCTAGGCCCGAAACGTCAGCCTCTCTGCTCCTATGATGCTGCTTGGCCTGCTGTGTTCATCCAGCCCTGCACCTTGTTGTCTCAAGAAATAAACTGTCTCCTTTTGTGCAAAAAAAAGTATTTCTTCCAATGTTGAACTGCTAACTGTATCACCACAAGCAATAATGTGCAACTTTCAGGAAGAAAATTACTTTTAATTGCATCCTTATCCTAGTGGGGAATTTCTGTTTGGACAGATAAACTCAAGGTTTGTGTGTGATACTTTAATCTATGTTTTCTGATTAGCCATGACAGGACAGCAAGAGACACTATTGCAGTTGTTATGCATACAAGTTTTATCATTCGGAGAGCTTTCCAGAAGAGCAACTAAAACACCATGTGAAGTGAGAAATGTCAGTGTGCCTGCATTGCTCCAGGCTTTGTGGTTTATACTTAGCAAAAAAGCCGAAGGCAAAGTTAGCACATTATGTGGATCTCTGCTACTCACCTAAATGTACAGTCAGTTCGTGATCACAGGACTCTAGTTTCTACATTTCTAATGTCTTTAGAGCATCATAATCCACCGTCTAGGACAAGCTACTCAATGTATTACTTTGAAAACCAGTTGCTTTGTACTTTGGGGCTTGACATGACATTTGGTTTTGCTTCTCATGTCCTCTTTCCAATGACAAACGAGATAAAACCCAATGCTGGAGTACTGTCCAATCATTGGTTTGGAAATATGTAGAGCAAATGCGTCAGCTGAGGAACCGTGTCGTCCAATTTCGCTTTGCATGGAACATTCAAAATGAATTCTATCCCCCTTCGCAGTGACTGAAACAAACCGAAGTGGGAGATAAAGTCAAAAAGGCATTTGCGTCAAGATCTACAGCATTAATTTAAAAAAAAAAATGCATGGACATTTTATTTTCAAAGCCTCCAAACGTGTTAATAGACTTTGGGTGACACTCACTATCTGCATTGGGAAGTTGGACTTGGTTTAGTCCATGTATATATGATTTGAAGTGTGTGTAACAGCTGGTAAGACTATGTGGGACTTTCAGGTTCTGAATGGTAGTAAACCTAAGATTAAAAATGGTAAACTAACTAACTCAGTGATTTGAATAGTACAGTTCAGCAGAATACTTTTAATCAAGTATTTTCCTAATAAACAGTGTCTTTTGACCTGGCATGGTACAGTGTGGTGTATTCTGGTTTCACCATTTCCAAATAAAAACCAAAAGAACTGCGGATGCTGTAAATCAGGAACAGAAACAGAAGTTGCTGGAAAAGCTCAGCAGGTCTGGCAGCATCTGTGAAGAAAAAGATGAGAGTTAATGTTTCTGGTCCATTGACCCTTCCTTAGAACCTTCCATTGCGAAACGTTAATGCTGATGTTTTTCTTCACAGATGCTACCAGACCTGCTGAACTTTTCCAGAAACTGTTTTTGTTTACCATTTCCAAGCCTACACTGCTCTTACCTATCAAACTGAACACGTAAAAGTATCATTGTGCATTGCTAACTGATATGTGGCTCCTGTTAGATGTAGCAATCACTCTACAAACAAGCTCTAGTGTTGATTTTTGTTGTTCCTTTTGACAAAATATTCCAGCAGGCATGGAAATGAAAGCAGCAAGTTATTAGCATAGCAATTTGATTTAGTTTCTGCCCAATATCCGACTGCTGAGGTGATTGATGTGAATGTATCTGGAGTAAACTGTTAAACGACTGCGTATTAACCGTGCTACTTACCTAACAGCCCATCATAATTACCAGGCCCATGTGCCCAGTTATTGATTTGCCAAACTATTAATTTAGCTCTTGGCCTGTTTTGGTTTTGAATTGGCTTTTATTTGGTTATTGTCACTGTTGCCTTTGAGGCCATTGGCATCATATTTCTAGCTTTCTTTGCACTTCCCTCACTCTGCCAGTCAATGTTAACTAAACATTCCCCATTGCTTTAGTCCTCCTTTGTATTTACCCTCCACTTCTCCTTCAGTTGTTGCCAGGAAAAGGCTGTTGGTTTTTCCTTTCTATTGTTTGTACTTGGTTGTCTTTCTCTCTCCAGCAATCCTTTTGATTCTTGAACTTTTAACTGAGATACCCAAGTCCTAAACCACAGTGACAGTCAAATTTGTAATCCCGTCTGCTCTGACTTCTGAAAGACATACAGACACCGAAAAGCAGAAACTGGAAATAGCTATGTAGCCCCTCAAACCTACTGCACTATTTGAAAAGATTCTGAATTCAACATCTGGTTCACTTTTTTATCTGCTCAATCCTTAATTTTTAACCCGCATAGGGTCTACCAGTCTATTGATCTCAATCTCAAATGTTCCCCTTCACCGAGCATCCTGTTTTCCTGTGTCATAAAAAGAACAGGCTGCCATAGGAACAGGGTTTCCACTGGAGTTTAGAACAGTGAAGGGTGAGTTGAATGAATTGTACACGATCCTGAATGCTGTTGATAATGTGGACCTTTGGTGGGGAAAGGGGTTGGAAAAAAGGTGGTTCACCTGGGTGAGTCCAGAACTAGAGGGAACAACTTTTAAAAATTAAGGGTTGCTCTTTCAGGACGGAGAGTTTATTTCTGAGGGTTGTGAGACACTGGAACACACGGCCCCAGAAGGTGGTGATGGAGAGTCATTGAACATTTTCAAGGCAAATTCTTACTTGGCAATGGAATCGAAAGTGTGCTGGATAGATGGGAGTGTGGAATTCCAAACATAAACAGATCAACCCTGATAATGCTCAATGGCAGAGCAGGCTCGAGGGGCTGAATGGCCTAATGCAAACTGCATATGTAAACTTTACTTCATTTTTTTTCCCTTTGTACTTTGTCTGATATATATTGGAGTGACAGAAGGATGTTGGAAAAGTTAACTCAAGTATACGCATTACAGCTTGTACTTGGAAAGATTGTTCTAATTATAAAAAGGGGATGTCTAACTTCCCAGGAAATGTACTTTCACTTCTGTATTGCTTAAAAGCTCTTCTTAGTATTTCAAGGGATAAACTGTCATTCTAATAAATATTCAATGTGCAACACCTACCCTTTCTCAATACTTAGAAATTTATGACATTGCTTTTCGTTTTAAGATGATACTGTAAAAAGCTGAAGTACTGACTACCCTAAGTGAAACACTTGCAGTGAAACTGAAGGCTGTGTCACTGTGGTCTGACTCAGGTTTTCCAGCTTAACGTCCATTAGAACAAAAGAAGATAACAGGTGGTTTATGGAGCAATATAAGATTAGACTACAGGTAAAGTTAAAGCAGAATATTGTTTCAAATAAACATTTCACAGTCTCAGGAGGGAACATGTTAAAAGTGGAGAAGTTTTTAGACTCGGCAATACAATTATTGACATGTAGACTCCCCTTCCTGAAGTGTAGTTGGAGGCAGGAGACTGGGAACGATTTAAGAAGCAGCTGGATTTTACAATAGTTGGATGCTGGAATTTCTCTGGGGAATGAATCACGATTGTCTGATTGCAACCTTTAACTGCTGAGATCTTGTGTCCTAGGATGAACCTTTATCCCATTTCTTGATCAATTTAGGTGAAGCATTCTATTTGAAAAGACTTCCTTCACTCTTTGTTTGGTGGGGGCGATGGGCAATATATCTTCAGCAATGTTTGCCATTTGTGGAGTCTCCCTATAAGTGTGTTCAGTTTCACTGAATAGTTTAGATTGAACACAAGCAGAATGGAATTACCAAAGTGTAGAACTGGAATGATTCCGAACCAGTCTTAGACTCTGTCTGTCGAGTAGTTGCAGTCATTTGCTATTTATTAGAGTGCGAACAGCACAAGCTGAACAAAGCAGAGGCACTATTCTGTTTCTTGTCCTGCGGGGTATTTCCAGAACTGGTTCTTTAAACACACAGTCTAAGCTGACAGTGCAGCATTCCCTCAGTATTGACTGAACGATCAGAAGCAGTACCTTCTCTCAACTAGTTGAGAAAAATCTCATGGCACTATTTCATATAAAAGCAGGGGTGTTGACCCAATATTTATCCCTCCAGCAGTATCTCATAAGATTAAAATGAAAGCAAAATACGGTGGGTGCTGGAAATCTGGAATATACATCTCAAATGCTAGATACATTTGGCAGATCTGGCAGCATCTGTAGAAAGAGAAACAGAATTAACACTTCAAGTCAAATATAATTCTTCAGTTCTGAAACTGTCAGAATTCATACTTAAGGAGCTAAAACATATATTAAAAATCATTAAAGAATCTGGCAGAGTCAACGTGGTTTTGTGAAAGCGAAATAATTGTTGATAGGTGTATTCGAGTTCTTTGTGGATCGACCAAGCAGGGGAGATGAGGGAAACCAGGAATGTAGAGTATTTGGATTTCCAGAAGGCATTCAGTGAGGTGCAATCTAAAAGGTTACTGCAAAGAAAACAGCTCATGGGGTTAGGCATGCTTATATTGAAGGAGATAGAGAAATAGATTGTCTATCTGGAAACAGAGTGGGGAATAATGGGTCTTTGTCAAAGAAGCAAGCTTTAATACTAGAATGCCACAGGGATTCCTGCTGAGCCTCAATTAGTTATTATCTGTGTTAATGACTTGGATGAAGGGGCATTGTAGCCAAATTTGTTGATCTAACAGATAGTTAGGAGGGTAATCTATGAAGAGGATATGAAAAACTTGTGTGTGCATATATGGAGTGAATGGACAAAATTTGGTACATGGAATATAATGTGGGGAAGTGTGAGCTTCCTCATTTTGGTGGGAAGAGTGGAAAGTGGAATATTACTTAAATGGAGAGAGACTGCATAATGCTGTCGTACAGAGGGATCTGACTGTCCTTGTACATTAATCTTAAAAGCATTAATGTGCAGCTGCAGCAAGTAATTAAGAAGGTAAATGGAATGTTAACCTTTTTATTGCAGGGAAGTTAGAGAATAAAAAATAAGGCGGCCTTGCTACAACTTTACAGGGCATTAATGAGTCCACACCTGCAATACTTTGTGCAACTTCGGTCTCCTTCCTTAAGTATAAGCCTGCATTGGAAACAGTTCAGAAGAGGTTCACTTGGCTGATTTCCTGGATGTGCAGTACATATGAGGAAAGGCTGGGCCTGTGCTCGAAGTTTTGAAGAGTGAGGGGTGATCATAGTGGAGTATATTAGATTCTGGGAGTGGGAGTGGGGGTGGGGGATGGTGCTTGGAAGGCTAAATGCTAAAAGGATGTTTCCTTTCGTGGGAGGCCCAGTTTAAAAATAAGCAACAAAAACAGAAATTGCTGGAAAAGCTCAGCAGGTCTGGCAGCATCTTCACAGAAACATCATATCATCATAGCACAAAACCATAAGACGTAGGAGCAGAAATTAGGCCATTTGGCCCATCGAGTCTGCTCCGCCATTCAATCATGGCTGATAAGTTCCTCCACCCCATTCTCCCGCTTTCTCCCCGTAACCCTTGATCCCCTTGATAATCAAGAACCTATCTATCTCAGTCTTAAATGCACTCAATGACCTGGCCTCCAGAGCCTTCTGTGGCAGTGAATTCCATAGATACAGCACTCTGGCTGAAGAAGTTTCTCCTTATCTCCGTTCTAAAAGGTCTTCCCTTTACTCTAAGGCTGTGCCGTTGGGTCTTAGACTCTCCTACCAATAGAATCCTTAGTGTGGAAGTGGGCCATTTGGCCCATCGAGTCCACACTGACCCTCCAAAGAGCATCCCACCCTGACCCACCCCTTACCCTATCCCTGCATTTCCCACCCAAGACACTAGAGCAATTTAACATGGCCACTCCACCTAACCTGCACATCTTTGGACCGTGGGAGGAAACCGGAGCACCCGGAGGGAACCCACGCAGACACGGGGAGAACGTGCAAACTCCACACAGACAGTCACCCGAGGCTGGAAGCAAACACGGGTCCCTGGCAGCAATGCTAACCACTGAGCCACCATGCCACCCCTACTGTGGAGAAAAATCAGAGTTTACCTTTCGGCTTGTGACCCGTCCTCAGAAGCCTACGAAAGAAAAATGCAGTCTCCTATCAAAGATGGATGTAAAGAGGAACCTTTTTTGTGTTTAAACTTTCAAGCGCTCTCCCACAGTGAACAGCAGAAGTGGCTCCTTGACTAATTTGAAGGTTGAATTAGGTAGATTTTTTTTATTTGATTGACCGAGGCGTCCAGGATCTGGCGAGACAAGCAGGAAAGCAGAGGTCAGGTCACATTAGATCACTTTCAACTTGGAAACTTGATTTCTCTCTGTGGATGCTGTCAGTCCTGCTGAGTATTAGGAACATTTTCTTTTTTTATTTAAAAGAAAAAAAATCAGCTCATTAATCTCTCAGATGTTTTTGGGACGTTGATGTGCACAATGCCTATCATGTTTCCTAAATTAGAACAATGAAAACATACGAAAAATACGTAATTGACTGTGTAACACTTGGGCATATCAGAGCTACTGAGGTGTAGTCATTCTTTTCACTGATTTCCTCCTAGTTGGCTCGTTCAAACTTCTAACAAAGCCTCTGCCTAGCTATTTCCACCTTGCTGCTGAATCTTCCTCCTTTTGTGTCGCTGCTGCTTCTGCAGAGGAACATCTATCCTTAAAATACCTCTCAAATTTATCCAGTTTTTCTACTTTGCTGCTGCTTGTAGTTTTTTGAATCCGGATTGTGATGCACAATTTTCACTAATTTCACGTTGTGCAGCAGGTCACGAAAACTTGGTTCGATTTAGGGTTTATGACGTAGAGAACAGAACATGGAGCTCAACCCCCGAGTATTAACTTGTTAAAACATGGAGAGAGAAGTCTTTCTGGGGAGTTGATTTTTATATTTTGTGGCACTGACTTTTTTCTGCTGTTGATCCTCCTTGCTGCTATCCAAATTTCTGAACTTCTTTAGTTTCAAGCTTGCAGGATTGGGGGGAGGGAAGGGAAAATGTGGGTTTGGGATCAGCTATCAAAAAAAAACAAGTCCTCCACTGGTATGGACTCTGAAGGAGGTTTGTCATTGCAGATCCTGGAGGCTGTGACCATGCAGCACATCTTCATGAACAACTTTCAGCTGTGCAGTGAGATAAACGAGCGTGTGGTGCAACACTTTGTCCACTGCATTGAGACTCACGGCCGCAATGTACAGTACCTCAAGTTCCTGCAGACCATTGTGAAGGCGGAAGGCAAGTTCATCAAGAAGTGTCAAGACATGGTAATGGCTGAGGTGAGTTGTGTTGACTTAAATTTTAGCTCTTTGCTTAGTCATGCAATCTGGCGCTTGCAGGCCTCGAGGCAGACCACCCCCATGGGGTTACAAGTACCATGAGTGTAACAGATATATCCCCCGCCCCTACTAAAGCCAGCTGTTGGCGGTTTAAGGCAGCGAGGTCTCACAAAATGACCATCCACCTTTTTTTTTTTTGAGTTGCGGCTTTTGCCATCACCTCACACAGCAACTCTTGCCCTCTGAAAAGTAACCACACTCTGCCTGGGGAAAAGTAGCATACCGGAGGCTTGCTAACTTGTGTGCAAAGAAGATGCAAACATGAAAACCTGAGCTCCAGTCGCTGGGGTACCCAGACTTAATAGGCATTTGAGGGACAATATTTATGTTGTTGTGATCTGGGAAGCACTTGCCCGAAAGGGAAGTGAAAGCAAATTCAATATTAACTTTCAAAAGGAAATGCTGCTTCATTTGGAAGGGAAAATATTTGCAGGGTTTTGGAGACTTGGGACTAATGGGAAACGCTTGAAGAGCTATAACATTGGACCAAATGGCCTCCTATACTATGTGTCAATTTAACAAAAAAAAAGCATTCATTCCTGGATTGAGTATCCGTGGCTGGGTCAGCATTTATTGCCTATCCCTAATTGCCCTGGAGAAGGTCAGAGTGAGTGAGACCCTTCGGTCCAACTTGTCCAAGCCAACCAAGGTTCCCAAACTAAACCAGCCCCACTTGCCTGTGTTTGGCCCATATCCCTCTAAACCTTTCCTAAAGGTGATGCTGAGGTACCAAGGTGGTGCCTTGAATTTTGCAGTCAGGGGCACCCACGGTGTCACTGGGTTGGGGGGGGGGGGGGCGTTGGTGGTGGGGTGCAAAATTCCAGGATTTTGACCCAACGACACTGAAGGAACAGCAGTATGTTTCCACGTGTGGATGGTAAGTGGCTTGGAGGTGTTCCCATATACCTGCTGCCCACGCAGGAGAACAAGCTTCTTGGTTAACGTGGGGTTACGAGTACAATGAGTGTAACAAATATTACCCCCCACTGAGCCAGATCCTGGAAGTGGCAAATTGATGACCTCCCAAAATATTGATGTTTTCCATTTGATTTGATTGAGATGAGAAAAGTCAAATCTGGTAAAGTGACTCAGCTTCTGTAGAGTATCAGCAATATGCATTGCCTGGCCATGTACTGTCCAACACTGAGCAGGTCCAGTGTGAAGTGAAGAATGCGCTGCCTGAATTCCAACATTAAGAATTGAATTGAATTGAATTGAATTATCTTTATTGTCACATGCACTGGAATGAGTGCAGTGGAAAGTTTGCAATATTACTTCTTACAGCGTCATCTCAGTTACAAGATACGTAGAGACAGATACTTAAGTATGGGTGTAAAAGAGAAAAAAAAAAGACGTGCAGCATAAGAGTAAAGAGGAAAATTTTTTTTTAAAAATACTCCATTTACAGTCTTTCCATCCCAGTCCATGTCAGCACCTAGTCTCCAGATTGCACCAGGCCAAGTCTCCCCACACACCAAGCTTCACAACTCAAGGCCTCTCCTCCACCGCACAAACGTCCTCCGCTCTCCTCAATCCCAGCCTATGGGGGTGATTGTGTACAGAGAAGGCAAACTCATATTTTCCATCAAATAGTTAGGTGCTAGGGGCATTCTAGAGGTCAATGTTTCGCGAGTTCTCTCGCTCTAAAAGTGCTCATTATTTTCAAATGAAGGCCTAATGTCACTTACATTGTTCGCAAAGCTGTTGATATCCATTATTTTTTCTTTGTTGAACCAATGCAATTTTTCAGCTGGTGAACGCTGGGGAAGATGTTCTGATTTTCTACAATGACCGAGCCTCGTTCCAAACCTTGGTGCAGATGATGCGCTCTGAGCGTGATCGGATGGATGAGAACAGTCCTCTCATGTACCATATTCACTTGGTGGAGCTGCTAGCAGTCTGCACTGAGGGCAAGAATGTCTACACCGAGATTAAGTGCAACTCCCTTTTGCCCCTAGATGACATTGTAAGAGTATCAACCCATGAAGACTGCATACCTGAAGTGAGTGAGCCTTGTGGGCGATCTAATTGAAAACGCTTTTGTTTCATAAAGGAGTTTAAGATTCTCTACCTTCCATAATTTATCCTATTTATCATATTTAATATAACCTTTTGATATATTTTATCCTATCTACTTAACCTAATCCATTCTATTTTATCCCATTTGTATTTCTGTTGCTAAAAATACGTTATGCCACTGATGTCTTTAATCTTAGACTTGTCAGGACATAATTACAAGAATACCAAATTGCAAAAGAGGCAACAATTTACACTCCATGGGGGCAGGAGGGGGCAATAACTGGTAATAATTCCATCAACCAATCCACTATTCTTTTCTCATGTGATATGAATTGTTGTTCCAAATAAAACTTGATAATCTTGTGCCTGCTGGTGAGCGCAAGAAGAAAAGATTTGACAGCGTGTATCTTGCTTCTCTTTCCCTGTCTTTTCGACCCATTCTTTTGTTACTTATCTGTTCGTATTGCTACAGCTTATTTGAGCTGACCTGTTATTTTTTTGAGGTCTGTTTTCTGCTGAAGCAAATGACATGTTGCTAGAGTTGCCTTTGACTAATGATTCCTATTCTCCAACCGCTCCTCCCTCACTCTGTCTGACTCCAATTATTGCAAAATCATGAGCAAAACTGCCTTTTAAGCTGAAGACACAGAAATCTTTGTCCAAGCAAAGCCGCAAGTCAGCACCGAACGGCACAATTTCAAATTTCTGATTGGTTGGTTGGCTGCTCGAGCTTCAAAATCTCCCCTCCCCCTACCGCATCCCAAAACCAGACCAGCTCGTCCCCGCCTCCCTAACCTGTCCTTCTGCCCACCTATGCCCTCCTCCCACCTCAAGCCCCACCCCCATCTCCTACCTACTAACCTCATCCTGCCCCCTTGACCTGTCCGTCCTCCCTGGACTGACCTATCTCCTCCCTACCTCCCCACCTACACTCACCTCTACTGGCTCCATCCCAGCCACTTTGGCCTGTCTGTCTCCTCTCCACCTATCTTCTCCTCTATCCATCTTCTATCCGCCTCCCCCTCTCTCCCTATTTATTTCAGAACCCCCTTCCCCTTCCCCATTTCTGAAGAAGGGTCTAGGCCCGAAACGTCAGCCTTCCTGCTCCTCTGATGCTGCTTGGCCTGCTGTGTTCATCCAGCTCTGCACCTTGTTATCCGGGATTAGAAAGTCTTGGATTTAATGCAAAACATGTGAACGAGGTGCAGGAAATAGTAACTTGCTGAAAAGGATTTCAATTCCGTTCTGGCAGCAGGGCAGCATCATATAACTCCTGCTGTAGGTGGGAATTTCGTTCCAATTTTAAAGCACATGGGAAACGTGCACATTTACTGGAAAAACTGCTTATGCTTGGTAATAGTTAGGCAAGACAATTCCCCAAGAAAACACGTATTTCATAATCACAACACCGTAAGATTGATTATTATAATAAAGGGCTAGAAATGATGGTTACTATCTTCGTGTTTCAGTGTTAAATTGCTTTAACTTTACCTAAAGTTGTTTATATTTTACTTTTTGAATCTTAAATATTTGATCAAATGCCATTCTCTGGTGAAGATGTTGAGTGCACAGCCTCATTTCCGGAGCTTTGAATGCGTTCTAGCAGGATTTTCCAGTCCTCTAGAGGGATACTGATGTTGCATGATTTCACTTTCTCTCAAAGTGTGGGGATCTACCATTCATCCATTTGCCATCTTGCCCCCTGCTATCTTAATGACTTGGTTGGACACATCAACTTAATAGGCATTAACTACTCTCACCCCTCGGGCATCTCTTTGTTTTGCTGCTGAGATTAACTTCTGCTAATGTTTTGTTTCATAACTAGGTGAAGATTGCCTACATTAACTTTCTCAATCACTGCTATGTGGACACGGAAGTGGAAATGAAGGAAATTTACACAAGCAACCATATGTGGAAGCTTTTTGAGAACTTTCTTGTTGACATATGCAGGGCAAGTATTGAATTTAGCGTTATTACACTTGCTGTTAGTGACTTTTAATGGCATGTTTGGTCCTACTTGATCTCCTATTTACTGAGCAGCAGTCAGCGAGACAGCTGTGGTTGTGCAACATTGACTCTTGGCGATAAGTTGATCCTTTATCTCCTTGAGCTGTGGAGCATGATGACCTATGTACTGGCTCTACCACATCTAGAACTGTGGGCTCACGCATAAAGAAGAGTAAGACTTTGATAGCAACATATCCCTGTAGCAGAGGGACTAATAAACACAGTGAGTCATGAAGCCTGATTCAGAACGAAGTAGGTGTGACTGAAGGAAAAGCTGTATATCTTTATCTGATTATGCAATTTGTGGCCTGCAAGAAGTCAGTTGTAGCATGAAGAGGAAGAACGTTGTACATCATTTGGTTGTTTTTACATAATATATGGAAATGGTGCAGTCAGTACCACTTCTTAAGCCATCCGGACTTCTTTACACATATTGTTTAATTTTATCAAGCCTGCCTGCGTATTAACGCTTTTCTATGTCTGCTTTTGAGTTCTGTAGCAGTAGCATGTGGTGCCGACATAGCTGGTGGGGTCAGAACTGGCAAACCAAGTCCACACACTCTCTTGTAATACTTCCACAGGAGCGTGCTTTTAAAAGAAAAAGCTCAATTTAACATTGGGGAATAGACGATGTAGAAGAGTAATTGTGCAGTTTGCCATTCAGAACGTTTGCAACTGTCCTCCATCTGCAATCTCTCACCCAATGAGCTCCCAGCGATTAGTAGTAATGCCACTAGATAAGTAATGGAGAGGCTCAAGGGGAATGTTCTGGGACACCGGGTTCAAATCCCACCTACAGCAGTTAGTGCGGATTTAAATTGAAATAATTAATCAAAAATGAACTGGAATGAAAGCTCATTTCTGTCATTGTGACCATGAAGCCATCTACAATTTTCCACCAAAAAAAAATGTCTGGTTCACAAATGTTCTTACCCATGCTGGTCTCCATAGGACTGTATGGTTCCCTCAGAACTGTCCTCAAGGGGCAGTATGGGATAAGCGACAAGTGTTGGCATTTCTTGCCCCATCTTTTATTTTTGATGACTTTGTCATGATTAATCGCTAATTCACAGTGCGTTGAATATATGGCCGTGCAAATATATTCAAGTCCACTGATGTGTCCCCATTGATGTATTTGTCTTGACTGACATGCTATCAGAATGGACAGTAGACAAACAGATCATTTGGTCCAACAGGCGCATTTTGGAAGAAGGGTCCCAACCTGAAGTGGCAGCTTTCCTGCTCCTCCGATTCTGCCTGGCCTGCTGTGTTCCTCCAGCTCTACACTGGGTTGTCTGTGTGCTGTACCCCTGTTTTGGATAAGTTCCTCTCGCTCCTTGTCATCTAGCTGTAGGTATATCCTTTCACTCGGACCTGCCAGGTTTCTCCAGTGATTATCTGATTTTGATCAGATGTCCATTATCCAAAGTTATTTGTTGTATTATAGGTAGGAGAGTGCATTATGAAAAGGACTTAAGGAGCCTACAAGGCTAAATGAGTGGGTAAGCATCTGGCAAGTTGGAAAGTGTGGAATTGCCCACCTTCACATCTTCAGACTGTGGGAGGAAACTGGTGCACCCGGAGGAAACCCACGAAGACATAGGGAGAATGTGCAAACTCCACACAGACAGTCGCCCGAGGCTGGAATTAAACCCAGGTCCTTAGTACTGGGGTGACTCAGTGGTTCAGTGGTTAGCACTCCTGCCTCATAACAAAAGGGACACGGGTTCAATTCCACCCTTGGGCGACTGTCTGTGTAGAGTTTGCACATTCTCACTGTGTCTGCTTCTGCCATGTACTCTGGTTTCTTCCCACAGTCCAAAGATGTGCAGGTAAGGTGGACTGGCCATGCTACATTGCCATATAGTGTACAGGGATGTGTGGGTTATGTGGGCTAGCCATGGTAAATGCAGGGCTATGGGGATAGGATTGGTTGGGGGGGGGGGGGGGGGGTGGGAGGGGAGCGGTCTGGGTGGGATTCTGTTCGGAGAGTCAGTGCAGACTTGATGGGCCAAATAGCCTCTTTCCATGCTCTAGGGGTTCGAAGAATAAAAAAGCAGATTATCTAAATGGTGAGAGCTCCTAGAACATAGAAACATAGAAGATAGGAGCAGGAGGAGGCCATTCGGCCCTTCGAGCCTGCTCCGCCGTTCTTCACAATCATGGCTGATCATCCTAACTCAATAGCTTAATTCTGCTTTCTCCCCATGACCTTTGATCCCGTTCACCCCAAGTGCTATGTCTAGCTGCCTCTTGAATATATTCAAATGTTTGGGCATCAACTACTTCCTGTGGTAATGAATTCCACAGGCTCACCCCTGTTTGGGTGAAGAAATGTCTCCTCATCTCCGTCCTAAATGGTCTACCCCAAATCCTCAGACTGTGCTGCCTGGTTCTGGACACACCCACCATCGGGAACATCCTCCCTGCATCTACCCTGTCCTGTCCTGTTAGAATTTTATTAGTCTCTGAGATCCCCACCCCAACCTCCCCACCATTTGTCTGAACTCCAAAAACAATCCCAACCTAGTCAATCTCTTCTCGTATGTCAGTCCCGCCATCCCCGGCATCAGCCTGGTAAATCTTCACTGCACCTCCCTTGAGAACCTGAGATGCAGCAGTGTCCTAGTGTATTAATTGCAGAAGATTAGTCTGCAGATATAGCAAGTAATCAGGAAAGCTGGGGCCTAATAATGCCCTATTTTGAGTACTGTGTGCAGTTCTGGTTGCCACACTGTGAAGGATGTGGAGGCTTTGGAGAGGGTGCAAAAGAGGTTCCGCAGGATGTTGCCTGGATTGAAGTGTATGAGCTATAAGGAGAGGTTGGACAAATGTTGATGGTTTTCGCTAGAGCATCGGAGGCTGAGGTTGGAAGTATATGAAATTGAGAGGCGTGGATAGTCTGAGTTCCCCAGGTTGGAAATGTTAACTACTAGGGGACATCGGCTTAAGGTAAGGGAGGAAAGCTTTTTTTTGTTTTGCACAGAGGGTAGTAGGTGCTTTGAATGCGTTGCCAGGGGAGGTGGTAGAAGTAGGTACAATAACAATGTTTTAGAGGCTTTTAGCCAGACACGGAATAGTGAAATATGGACTGGGGTTAGTTTAGAATGGCATCGTGGTCAGCACAGACATCGTGGAGCAAAGGTCTTGTTCCTGTGCTGTACTGTTCTATGTCCTATGTCATCTATTTATCGCGCTACCCCTTAGATGCATCTGTTGATATTATTTGCCTTCACTATGCCATGCAGTGGCAGGTTCCTTATTCTATCATTTGCGTCAGAGAAGGGGGAAAAAAAATCGAATCTTAACCTAGTTTACTCCTTCACCTATTCATTTATGGACTGTAGAGATGGAAATATGTTTTTCGTACTTTCCTTGCCAAAGCATTTTATCACAATTCAACACCTTTTTATAATCTGTCATTGCTACCAGCTTTTGATTTTCCCGTTTTCTTTTTAATTAAATTCAAATTCTCAAACTGCTGTGGTGGGATTTCAAGTGATCGATATCTGCACCGTTTCTATTCATGCTCTTAACGGACGACCAAAAATACAGGAAAGATTGAGGTTTCAGTGGGAAAATCAAAGTGACAACAAAGATTCTTGCAGTCAGTGCTAAATCTATTGATGCAGTTGATTAATTTTGACCATATAATTGTCCCGTTTCACCTGTGCACTTGGGTACAACAGGAGATCAGAAAATGAGAGGCGACAGAAGTTTTAAAAAAAAAAAAAATCCCCAGAGAAGACTTCCACTGACTTCTCCCTCCACCTGAAGAGTTATCCCAAAGACGGGAAGGCCCATGGTTCACCTTCCTGCTGCACTGCCAATTGATGCCTTTCAGGGGTCAATTGATAAGGATCAACCGAAGGCCTATTCTCACCTGGGCTACAATGATCTCGGTTCCCGGAGGGACAAAGAGTGGGCCCACCTGACTGGTAAATCATTGCTGCTGATTGATGCTGATTTGTGTACAATCGAGGGACTTGGATATAGGGCAGGGCATGTGCCCACTGAGAGTCTCCCTCCTGCCCTCACATCTGACCCCTCATACCTCCTCTCTCTCCATAATCCCAAAATCCAGAGCCTGACCCCCTCCTCTCACCACTACCTCACACACCCACAAAAAAACTTGCCTGGCACCTTGTGCCTTGTGATATCGGTGGATGTCCCAGCAGCATCCAATTGGTGGTGCAACCGAGTGTGCGTGTTGCCTGCCTCTGATTGGCCAGCAGCTCCTGGTAGGAAGGACCCCTGCCCTTGGCAGCTTCATTTTGGAGAAATGTTGTTCGTTGTTGCCCTTCTTAATTGCCTGATTGGAGGAGCAGACAGTGAGCCTTGTTGTGACGACTCAGCCCTGGGTGGTCTTGCTACCTTTCTCCAGCCTGAGAAAAAGAGAGAATGCCAGCCCGAGTCATAGAGAGAGTTCGATGTCCAGATACAACTGACCGGCTTTGTCTTCGGACTGCTCTCCTTTCAGGTGTGTAACAATACAAGTGACCGAAAGCATGCTGACAACGTCCTGGAGAGATATGTCACTGAGACTGTCATGAGCATCGTCACAACTTTCTTCAGCTCCCCCTTCTCTGATCAAAGCACGAGTTTGCAGGTACGGAGTATTATCACTTTGGGTTGGTTTTTTTTTTCAGAGCTATGTGCTTTTAGTTCTCCATTATTCTGACCCAATTTAGGGGAGAACATTGAGTAAGTGAGCAATTTGCTTGTTGACATAACCCTGGGAAAAAGTCACCTAGAGCAAAACAAAACACATGCATTGCACTGGTAAATGATGAGGAAAGACTTTATTGTAACCAGAGAGAAACTGTATTTGGTTCTGGTCTCCCTGTTACAGGAAGTGTATTATTAAGCTGGAGAGGATTCAGAAATAATTTACCAGGATGTTGCTTGGAATAGAGGGTTTGAGTTGTAAGGAGAGGCTGGATAGGCTGGGACTTTTTTCACTGGAGCGTATTAGGTTAAGGGATAACCTCATAAAAATTTATAAAATCACGAGGAGCTCAGATGAGGTGAATGGCAGGTCTTTTCTGTAGGGTTGGGGGATTTCAAGTCTAGGGCCATATTTTTCAGGCGAGAGGAGAAAGATTTAAGAAGACATGAGGGGCAACCTTTTTTTACAGTGGTTCGTGCGTGGAATAAACTTCTATAGGAAGTGATAGCTGCGAGTAGAGTTAGTGTTTAAAAGACATTTGGATAAGTACAGGAACAGGAAGGGTTTGGAGGGATATGGGCCAAGTGCAGGCAAGTGGGACTAGTTGAGCTTGGGAACCTAGACAGCATGGACTGCTTGGACCGAGCGGTCTGTTTTGTGCTGTATGACTTTAGTAGAGTAGTGACACCTTGTGTCCTAGCTTCCACATGGGGTGATAGAATGTTACAGCATAATGTGTATTCTGCCAGGGCCAGTCAGCATTCAGACCTCATTCCAGCACGGGCCCAAACGTGGACAAAAGAGCTGAATGCAAGAGGGAAACTAAGGGGGACTGCCCTGACACAAGGCCACATTTGACCGAGTGACGTGTCAAGGAGCCCTGACAAAACTGGTGTTGATGGGCACTCGGGGGAAATGCTTTTCACTGTTTTTATCCTATCTCGCACAAAGAAGGATGATTATGTTCGTTAGTGGTCACCTCAGCCACAGGAGTTCCTCAGGTGAGTGTTCTTGACCCAACTACTTTCAGCTACTTCATAAATGACCCTCCTTCCATCAGAAAGTCAGAAGTGGGGCTGTTCACTGATGATTGCACTGCATTCAGCACCATTTACAACCTTTCAGACACTGAAGCTATCCATATTTGTATGTCAAAAGACTTGTAACTAATGTCTTGGACTGATAGGTGTCAAGTAATATTCATGCCACACTACTGTTGGGCAATGGCCATCTCCAATAAGCGAGTATCTGATTGTTGTTTGATATTCACTGGCATTACCATCACTGAATCCCTCCCATCAACATCCTGGTGATTGCCAATTTCCAGAAACTTAACTGGACTTGTCGTATACATATTGTGGCTACAATTGCAAGTCAGAGGCTAGGAAAATTCCAGTGAGTAATTCACCTCCTGACTCCCCAGAGCCTGTTCACCATCTACACGTTGAGTCAGGAGTTTGCTGGAATACTCCTCACTTGCCTGGATTAGTGTAGCTCCAGTAACACACTCAAAAAGCCTGATGTCATCCAGTTAAAGCAGCTGGCTTCGTTGGCAACCATCCAACCTCTTCAACATTCACTCCCTTTACCTCCAATAACCTGCAGCAGTTTGTAGCATCTACAAGATGCACTGCAGCAAGGCTTCTTTGACAGCACCTTTCAACCCAAGACCCCTGTCATCTGAGGAAGGGTCACTGGATCCAAAACGTTAACTCTGATTTCTCTTCTCGGTTGCTGCCAACCTGCTGAGCTTTTCCAACAATTTGCGTTTTTGCTTCTGACTTTACAGCAGCTGCAGTTCTTTCAGTTTTTACCTCTGTCATCTAGTTGGACGAAGGCAGTAGAAATGTGGAAAAAGCACCATCTACAAGCTCCCCTCCAAACCACACACCATTGTGACTTGGAAACACGTTGTTCCTTCAGCATCTCTAGATCTAAATTCTGAAGGTCCCGCCCAAATGGCATTGTGGGTGTCCCTACACCACGTCGATTGCAGTGGTTTAAGAAGGCAGCTCACCACGACCTTCAATAGGGCAGTTCGGGATTGGCAATAAATGATGGCCCAGACAGCAGTGTCCACATGAATGAATAAAGAAAACATAGAAAGTGGCCATTTGGCCCATTGTGTTCATCCTGCTCTCTGAGCAAGCCATTTGCTCCATCTGTATGACTCTCTAGTATTTCACTATATATCCTTGCATTTTTTTGTTTCCTTTTTAGATATAATTCTCTTTTAAAGACAATGCAGAATATTGCTCCATCAGCCCCTGAGTTGGTACATTCTGAATCCTAACCGGGCACAATGTAATAAAATTTCCTTGGGAACCATGGCTGTGTTTACCAATCACTTTAAGTTGGTGTTCTAGTCCTGGACCATTTTGCTGATGGGAACTGTTCAGCCATTTCTCATTTTACTCTGTCAAATCCTTTTATTGAATCCCCTCCATTCAATCTTCTCCAATGAGAGCAGCTTCAGCTTCCCCAATCTGTCTATCTAACTGAAGTCATTTATTCCCTTGAACTGTTCTCTGCAATCTTTGCTGAACTTTTTCTGACGCCTTCACTCACTTCTTAAAGAACTGGGCTCACTGCTGTAATTGAGGGCCAGCTAGTGTGGTAGCAGACTGTTCATTACGCCGCAGAAGCAGCCTGGATAGCAGCTTTTGTTAATTCTGGGCTCTATTACTGCTTTGGCCATTTTGATGTTTGAATCAAGTCAACGTACAGTTGTGGGAACAATGGAAAAGACGAACCTCAAGGCTGTCAAGTTGTGATTTGCAATGTGGCTTGAGTTGAAATTTACCACAGACTATTGGAAGCCCACTGAAGACAGTGAATCATTTAGTACAGAAATTAGGTCAACTGAAGTACAGCTCTCTCTCATTAAACTTGTGACTTAAGCAGCTAACTTTGAATCTTGCCAAGAGCTCCAGCTGTTTTACTTGGTCCATTCTTCAAATCTGTTCACTGGAACTTTGGCTCATGTGGCCTTTTTGAGTTCTAACTTTGCCATTATATAAGTTATAAATTCGACAGCCAAACAGATGTACGATTCAGTTTTTATATTGAGCTGCGAGGGTTTTGCTATTTTATTTTTTCAAAGTTATGCAACCCAGAGGCACATTTGAAGAGTACCGTGAATAAATTTTATTTCATGCTCACTTCCAAAAATATTCAAATCCTTGTCCTTTGAGCAAAGATTAAGAAAATTTGTTTTTGAAGGAGTTGATTTGAACTATGGATTAGTTCTTTTTATCCATTTATCCATCTTATTTTTTTCTTTTTTAAATTTAGTGCCTGAATTAGAATTATCCAAAAGAATATTTGGATCTTCAGCTTATTTTAGCTTATGTTGTTATTCCTTTCAATTCCATTATTTTCCATTAATGTTGGAAATGCAAATGAAAAACTGGATCTGGGTGATCTACTCGCTTTGTCCTCCACTGGGGCAAGTAACTATTTAAGACTGAGCCTATGGTTAGGGTATCCAAGGATGCAGATCAAAGGCAGGTAACTGGAAAGGAGAAACCGATGAGGGGCAGATTGACCTTCCATGCTTCTATCCTTCAGTGTGACAGCAGAGTTTATAACCTCTCTCTTGCAACTTACCTTTTTCTTTCTTCTCCTCCTCCTCCTCCTCCTCCTCCTCCTCCTTAACTCTTCTCACTCTTAAAAGATTCCTGAAAAATAGTGTTTGCTGCGGAAGACGCATTCCGGTGCAAATGTTTGTCATTAAGTTTAAGTTCATCTGTCTTTGGATATGTGCTGTGTTTTTATCTGTGTTAGCCTCCAATATCTACAGGCACACCCAGAAAGAAAGCTAGCCTAATACTCGTTGCACCCTTGATTCATTCTAATGTAGAAGACGGTGGTTAGAAATCGGAAGTGATCATAATGTAATCAGTCTCGTTGAATCCCACTGAATGGAGAAGCCACACTGAGAGTACACGGGTCAGCTTAGTGACCCTTGTTGGCATGACAAGGCCTTCCACGTTTGGAATGCAGGGTCATGAAGAAAGAGGGTGACGCTACCTGCAGTCTTTGGGAGATGGCCAGTGCAAGTACTTGAAGTACTGTAACAATCCATTGATTCTGGTTGGAAGTAAAGCACAGTGTTTGTTCCATTTTACCTTGAATTATTACAGAATACGGTGAGAGCCACATAGGTGTGGTGTTCTTCGTTCTGTTAATGATGCTCTGTAAAGCATTTGATAGTTTTTGGAGCTGTTGTGAAATCAAAGCATCTTCAGATTGTGGTTTCTTCTCAGTTTATTACATTCCAGTTGGAATGTAATGCTCTATCCTACACTGGCTACTCATTGTTCACTACAGCTGTCCCTCTTGTGCATGGCAGTATGAAATATTCTTCTAGGTTTCAATCCTCCATTTGTATTCACATTTTGTATTTTATTTGAAGAGCAATTCTTGGACATTCTGAAGTGTTTTAATGTTTGTAGTACGTTGTTATTAATGTGGTCAGAACAGCTTGTAGCTGTTAACTTTGTTTCATGCAGTTAGCAATCAACCTAATGAGGTGGTGGTATGAAGTTCCCACCATAAACTTAACTTAGTTACCTGCCTTCATACTATTTCCAAAATGATGTGTGTTTGGCCAGGTTAGAGGAAGGAGAAAAACTTGCAGTCAACATTGAATACAGGTGTTATAAAATTGTGTGGAATAATTATGAATTGGAAGGCAGGCAGGTAGAATTTGTTTGTTTTTTTAAAAAAGGGAGAAGAGTATGTGGTTCCTTTAAGAGGTAAAGATCTTCTCTAAACTTAGAGATTTATACAGAAAAAGAATGTATCTTTATGTAGCTGAGGATGTACAGCCAGTTCTGAAATTGAAACGTATCAATTGGCTATGTCATTGGGAGCCTTAGGTGTGTTTTGATGTTTTGGCAACTAGCTGGAATCAGCCAACTAATTTAAACCAAACACTTAGTGATTGAAAGCCAATTGAATTTAAATCTGATGGTTTTGACAACCTTGGACCAATGCTATTGTAAGAAAATTGATATGTCATCCAAGATATGTAAGCAGAGGGTTTTTGTAACACTGTGTGAGAACGATCTGCCATCTGAGAAATAAGCATCTAGCTCTCACAGGAAATCACTAAACTCGCTAAGAAAGCACCATCTATCCATTAAAGGTACCACAGCACTTCTAGCTAAGAGTCTTCACAGAAGACTTCAGAGAGAACATCCCTGACAGTTGGATCAGCGGTAGAAAGGCGTTTATGACTTGAGCAGCAGAAGAAAGGCATGTAGACTTTGAGAGACTAAATTTTAATTTATTTTCTTTTTAATTCGGTTTATATAAGTGCAACTGCTGTTCATTGGAACAGCAAACCAGTAGAATTTAGTTCAGTTGGGGAATGGTTAGTAGTTAAAGGGGAATTGTTCAATTTGTTAGTAATTCTATTAATTTGTTCACTGTTAGGTTAAATAAATAAATTATTACTTGGTAATTATAAAGTGAATATCAGTGATTTTCTTTCTTTTAGTCACTCTCTAACAAATTATGAGCTTCTCTTGGTATTTCAGGTTTAATTATTAGAAGGGAACCTCCATTCCTGCCCTAACAAATTGGAGGCTTGTGTTTTGGTTTAATTATGAGAGGGAATTGAACTCCTCTCTGAAATACAGGCCAATGTCTACTTTGTGCTAACTTAAGCTCCTACCAAATTCCAAAATGTGTTGTGCCAATTCTCCTCCCTCAATCGCCCCTCTCCAAATTTCTGTCCTCTGATCCTACACAACCGTGCAGATACAAAAATGCAATTTTAATACAGCCTGAGAACTGGCCTGGGCAAAACTGGATCTGTGGCAAGGTAGACAGTGGGCAGTCATCTACTTCACACTGAGCTGTGGTTTGAGGTTTTAACTTTGTTGACTGGACTTGCTTTATGAAGTGTGACTGCTAAAATTAAGGTTGTGTGAACACATTGGTAAGTATGGTTATAACTGAGTGTGTGTAACTGTTAATACCGTGTATGAATAAATGAAAGCCAAGGCCATCTAAACCCTATGGTGCACGTTATGTCTATGCTATAATAGATACTTGTGTCTCACAGTATAACCAGTGATATACGCCAAACCAAATCGTAAATTTTATGAGAATTTTAAAAGAAATACTTTAAGTTTGTATGGTTCCCTTTCATGACTTCAGTATGTTCCAACACTTTACAATCAATTAAAACTTTTTAATGTATTGTCACTGTACTCTTAAAATGTAGAAAGTACAAGAACATGTTTTTACACAGCATGGTCCCACAAACGTCACTTTGACAATGATCACATTTCTTTAAGTGATGTTGTTTAGAGGATGAATATTTGCTGAGATACAAGGAGGAACTGTCCTGTTCCTATTATAAAGAAAAGGCAAGCTATCTTTAATATCTTAGCTTTGGAAGTCTTCTATGGAGTGAGATTAATTGTGTAGTCCTCTCGGAGAGACAATGCAGAGACAGTTGGCTGCGTGGTCTCCTTTGACCCAAAATTGACCCAGTGATGCTGAAGGAATGATGCTGGAAGCCTAAGTCAGGATGGCTTATGGCTTGGAGGGCTACTTGCTCTTGGTGATGTTCCCATGTTTCTAGAGGTTAGAGGTCATGGGTTTGGATGCTGTTGTCAAAGGTTCAGGGCAATATTTGCACTGTGACCCAAACAAAACGTTGAAGTGCCATTTCAAAGATGGGAAGCAAATTTGCATTAAAGTAGTCCCATTCTCAGCATACCACCAATCGACTCTTGCCAACAAATAACTTTGTGATATGTTTTCACGTGCGTTGTCATGCTGAAACTGACTGACTGCTTATGACTATGTCCCATAAATGGTAATGAGAGAATTTACCAGATAATCAGTTTGGTGGTTAACTGTTGGCTGGGGCATTGGGTCGACCCTGCCTCTTAATCTTTTCTACCACTTTGAGCTAGTCCCAGTTTAGCAACTCACCTGAAAGATGATACCTTTTGGTATTGTCAATGTGATACCACAGCTCAGATCATGCTGATATCCTGGAGATGGGGCCTGAATGCATGACCACCTACTTCTGAAATGATGCCATGACTGATAGCTCATGGAACAAAGCTCAGCTATGTATTAACACGAATGCAATTTCAGTTGTGGGGGCAGGGTGTTCAGTTGCCTTACATTGACACAGTATAATGGAGAAATGAGAGAAGCAATTTAAATCCTTCATGATCTAATTGTTCATTTTTCTTTTTCATAGCTTCATTCCACTAAATTGTTCCAATTCTGTTGTCAGTTCATGACTTTAAATCCACTTGGATTCCATTTAATAGAAATATATTATGCAAAAAGAAGCATGAAGGAATTATTTATTCAGTTGAACATGATACCTCTTCAGCTTATTGTTCCTTGCCCATAATTTTAAAATATAGAATGTTCTAGAAACACTCAGCAGACCAGATAATATTTGTGGAGAGAGAGAGAGTTTTAGGTTGATGACCTTGGATCAGAATGCTCTTCCCACTCCACAAACACTACTGAACTGTTGCTGGTTAATAGCATTTTCTGGGTTTTTTTCCGAAAAGATTTCCAACGTTCCCTGTGTTTTGATTTTTTTTCTTTTTTGGGTTGTTTTTGTTGTATGTTTCAACCCTGACTTCACGAAATTCCGTGCAAACTCCAAGGCTTAAATATTGGAGCTAGCCTGAAGACATTAAAAGGTCAAACATGAATGCCATTTGTCCTCGGCATGTTTAGATCTGCCATTTTTAAAAAATACTGCCGTTCTTATTGAGCCACTGGATTTTGTTTACTCCTTGCAATAAAAGGCTCAGGAGCAGAAGGGAAGCCAAAAGGCATTCAAGGGTGCTGTACCATTCAATAAGATTGTGGCTCATCTGATTGTGATCTCAACTGCATCTTTATCTATCTTCACCTTCCCCCGCTCCACTCCTGAATAGCCCTTCACTGACTTGTCTATCCAAGTCAACAAATTTGAAGTCACAATCCCCGCCCCTTTCTAGGGACGGGGAATGCCGCAGAGTAACAACCTCCGGGAATGGAATATTCTCCTCTGCCTTAGAAGGGAGACCTCTTATTTGTAAACTGTGTCCTTCAGCACCCACCCAGTATATCAAGAGAATTTCTGAAAATCCAGAATTGCGTCAACTGCCTAATTTGCGATCTAACAATTCTGTAGATGCCCCAGCGATTCTGACTACAGTGAAGTGATGTGCCCCTTTTTGTAAATTTGTATCGACTTGGAACCGTTTCACATTTTAAAAATTTGTTCCTGGGAAGTGAGCATCGTTGGCTAGGCCAGCATTGCATCCCATAATGCCCAGAGGGCAGTTAAGAATCAACCATACTTCTGTGGGTCTAGAGTGACATGACCCGGACCAGGTAAGGATGGTAGATTTCCTTCTCAAACAAATATTAGCGATTCAGATGGTTTGTTACAACAATTGGCAATGGTTTTGTGGACTTGCTCTTTCAAGAGGATGACTGTTTCAGCTTTTGTCTCTGTGAGCCCAATTTAACTCTCTGCTTATGAATCTTTGAGATGGTTCAACTAATAGAATTGATAGTGGAGAAAATGTTTGCTTACAGTAAGTGATCCAAGATTCATGCCAAATGCATGATTCAGTTTCGCATCTCCATAGTTACCTCTTGGCGGCTTTGTTATTAAGAACTTGATGATCATGTATTCTTTGCGGCAATCAATTGTTTTTGAACATCGACCAGTGTCTGCCATTATAGATATGGATAGTGATGGCAATCGCGTTCCACTGAATCAGTGAGAACAGAATGAGGCCTTAAAGCCCATCATGCCTATACTGGCTGTTTGAAAGAGCCATCCAGTTAGCCCTGTTCCCTTTCTCAGTCCCCGCTGCCTTGCAATTTATTCCTTCTCCAGTGTTTTACGTTGAAACTTTCACTTGGAGAGAGCTAAATTTAAAATGAAAATACTTGGTACTTACAGTTTTGAGCTTTGCAGTGAATTGTGAGTCTGAATTGATAACCCACAATTTCTGCTGGTGTTGGGGTGGACACCGGTCACTTATCTGGGTTGAAGTCTGACTTTGAACGTGTCAGTACCTTAACCGGATGTTGTTCTGTTCGAGTTGAGTTTGAGGATGCTTCTAAATTGTGAAATTGTTTAACCAGGCAAACAATGTGTCTGTTTACCCCCAGACAGCCATTAGTCTAATCTTCTAGCTGTCAAGTATTGTTTTTTGTTCCATCAGTAATTGAAACAAAGCAAACTGTTAACTAAATGTTTCTTTTTTTACTCCCCTGTGCTTTATCCAGACTCGTCAACCTATCTTTGTGCAATTATTGCAAGGGGTGTTCAGAGTGTACCACTGCCCTTGGCTGTCGGCTACCCAGAAAGCTTCTGTTGAGAGTTGCATTAAGGTGCTATCGGAAGTAGGTAAGCAGTGTATCAGGAGATGCTGATAGAGGTTGGTAAAGAAGCAGTGTTTTAAGTTGTTAAATACTGCAAAAAAAGTACCATTGCCACTGCTGTGATATACTTGCTGCTTTTAAAATACCTCCTTTTGCTCTTTGTTTTCTGTCCTGTTTGACTAACTTTGTAAGTACTGTTCATGAGGCTTCATGATTAATACATCTGAACTTACTTTCGTAACTTGTGTCTATTTAATGCTGTTTACCTTTGATTTCGAGTGTTCTCGAGACGCACGTTCCCAGCCAAGCCACAATGTCCACCTCTCCGACTGGGTGTCATCAATGTTCAAATGTCAGCCAACCCAGGCTGCAGTCTTCAATTTATAATTGGTGTAACTGGGCACCACTCAATTCATCGAGTCTTGGTTGGACTACACACAACAAAGGGATTCATATTCTTGAAACATGAATTCACTTGAATTTATGACACAGAATTTGCCAGTGGTATTGAAACACTTTGAAATGAATGTTTTTATTCCAAATGCATTCTTGTCTAGCTATTGTCTGCTTTTCTCATTTTGAGCAATGCAATTAAGTCCCTTGACTTCCCGGTATCGTACTTGCCTCTTGAATGTTTGTTTGTTTCTGTCTCTTGCACTAAACCATCCTTTTAACTTCTGTGACTGGAATTACATTGTACTGTACCAGATCATGGTCACTTTAGTTCAGTAAACTTGCACTCACAAGCAACTGAATCGAGGACTGCCTGAACTCAAAGGGCACTGAAAAGCAGCAGACCAAACTGCATCAACCAGCCCTGGCTAGATCTGGAATCGTGAACGAAAAAAGCAATCAAGGATATTGCAAAATCACTTTGCGTTTATTCAGAGCTGTTGCTCGTGAAGGAGATGCTGAGGGCACAGGTTATAATACTGAAATGCAATATTCAAAAAGCGTTATGAGGGTCTATTCTAGTGAAGTACATTGTTGCGAAATATTTAGTTCTGAGGAAACTGTAAACGATGACGAGGATTTTAGAAATTTTTTGTTTTCATTCTTTCATGGGACAAGGCAAGCATTTGTTGCCCATCACTAATCACCTTTGAACGGAGTGGTTCCCTGGGCCATTTCCGAGAGCAGTTAGGATTCGGCAACATTGCTGTGTGTTTGGAGTCGCATGTAGGCCAGACCAGGTAAAGACAGCAGATTTCCTTCCTTAAAGGACAGGAATGAACTAGAAGGATATGTGGCCTCATGGCATCATTATTGAAACAAGCTATTTATTGCATTTAAATTTCGTCTGTCCCATCTCCCCAGCTCATGAGTCCAGACTCCCTGGGTTGTGAGATCAGTGATATTACTACGATGTCACCATCTACACTGAAGTGTTTAATTGTTGTATAATGTACCGGGGCTGATAGAACCTTCAGGACTGAATGTTTGCCATTACGTTGTTATGGAAGAAGGTGTGCTGAGTTTAAAAAGTGGGACTGGAACAGGATTGTCAAAAGGGTGAATTCACCTCATGATTCCCACTTTCACGTTGTGACCAGACCACGGGGAGACCTTCAGCCTGTTGGTCACTGCCTGGTTTCCTTTTTTTTTTTTTTGCTCATAGCATTGGAGTTAAGGCCAGCATGAAATGTTCTCGGCCCTTCTCCAGGCGTGAGTGTCTGCTTCCTCCATGGTTGTGATTGTGATTAGAGCTGAGAGGGCTATCTGTAGTGGCTTGTGGCCTGCAAGTAATACTCGATGGGGTGAAGTAGCTGAAAATGAAAATGAAGAGAAAAGTTGAGAGTAGCACAGGTAGCATTACTGTAGAGAAGGAAAATGCTTACGATGTTTTGTTTCATTTAGCACTTCTCTCCCCAACAGGGTAAGGTATCTAGATTTTTTGACTTTTTTTTTGTTTTAAAAGTAAATTTATAATTGGTTTGGTAAATTTACATTTGATTCAGCTGTTGATCTATCTGCTCTCTGGTCTGGAAAGATACTCTAGTAAAACCTTAGTAATCAGAACTAAATTGCCCATCCTTTTATTGGGAGAGATTGATGCATTTGGTCAGTAAGTTCAGAGTGTTCTAGCAGTCTTCCTGCTCAGTGAATGATGAAGCCTCCGTGAATGTATTTGTAGTTGTGTTGTCCACCAATTTCAAGTGGATGCTTTAACTTGCTTAACCTCTGTTGCAGCCAAGAGCAGAGCCATAGCAATCCCTGTGGACTTGGACAGTCAGGTCAACAATCTCTTCCTCAAATCTCACAACATTGTTCAGAAGACTGCCATGAGCTGGCGAATGTCAGCCCGCAATGCTGCCAGGAGAGACTCAGTCCTTGCTGCCTCAAGGGATTATCGGAATATAATCGAGAGATTGCAGGTATCAAAGAGAGTGCAGGTCGCAGAATTCCACGGCACTCTATTTTGTCATTTTTTTGTCAACTTTCTGCTTTTGAGTGAATTATTTTTGTTTATTTCTATTGCCATACTGTTTTGTCTCCTGAAAACAATCTCATTCTTTTCCTCTCTGCAGTTTTGTGTTTGAAGATCTTCTTCCTCTGATGGTACCATCTGTGTTTGCATTTTCTATTCTTCACTCTGCTCAGTCATTGGATCTGTAAACGCTGGAGATTTCCTCTTCTTCGTGTCTGTCACCCATCCTGTTTATTTGGTTGCTTCATGCGTCCTCTATTCTCATCGCCACTTTGAAGACTTGTTCGAGTCTGAACGTTTGAAGTGGAAAGCCAGTATCCATTGTGTTCCTGTTTTGCTAGCCGTTTGCATCATGTATAAAATGATGGACTTGTGATGTGATCAAGTTGGGTTTATCTTAGAAGCTTAAATGAGCTTGAACAAAATTGAGGGCTTGTATACTTTTCAAGAATGAAACTCTAAAGTGAAATAGTGTCAGAAAATCAAATTAATAGTGGCATTGGCTTTTCAGTGCAATTGCTCAAGTTTATTGATACGCGATTAGATATGTAGTAGAATCTGCATCTTATTTCATGTTCATAAAGTTGAAGTGCATTAATCTGTTACGACGCTGGTTCCAGTCTAACTCTGCTCTGTTTTAAAGAAACACTTTGACAACTTTTAAAGGTGCAATCACTGATTTCAAAGTAAACCTCCGTGTAAGCTTGCATTCCTCAGAGCTGTTATGTGTGCCTATACAGTGCAATGTCCGATTAGAGTGTGAGGATGAAAGTATTGCTCTAAGTGCAAATGCCTAAAGGTTCTTTGTGCACAATCTTGCATATTTTGGAACAAATTGTTGTTACTTTCACTCTGTCAGCTAAAATCTGCTAATGTTGATCTGTTCTCTAAGTATGGCAAAGAGTGAAGGTCCAAGCAAAGATGGCAACATCTGCTTGGAACAGAAACTGAATGTACATCCAAACTAGTCTGTAAAGCTGACCTGCTCACTTGATAATCATAGTGAGCCACTGGGTGAGGGAAGAGGAAAAGAACTCTTGTAATTTATGCCACTTTTCAGATTAGTGGCTTTTAAGCAGCGAACAACACTAACATTTCAAATGCAGTTCTTGCTGCCCTCAATTTTAATTACGGTGGTGGATTTTGACAACTGCCTTCTGTGGTATAATCATGGTCCCTCTTAAACATCATCTTGCAGCTGACGAGCAATTGCAGTGATGTAGTAGGTAAATAGGCTCTCACTGAAAGCAAATGGGGCAATTTAATGCAATTTAGCCTTTAGGAGTGACTTGTGTTTGGGACACTGTCTTAGGAAGAATTTGTATTTGTTCTGCTCATGGGACCAAAGATTAACTGGCGTTGTTTGTTGAAATGCAGGATATAGTGTCAGCACTTGAAGATAGGCTCCGTCCCCTCGTGCAAGCAGAACTCTCTGTTCTGGTGGATGTCCTTCATCGGCCCGAGCTGCTTTTCCCAGAGAACACAGAAGCACGGCGCAAGTGTGAAAGTGGCGGGTTTATCTGCAAGTAAGTGTTGCGGTGGTCACCTTTTTTTTTATAAGAGATGGTGTAGTCATCGGTTAGATTGCAGCTCCTCTAAGATCTGTTCTCTAAGACATGACAAAGGGTGAAGGTTCAAGCAAAAATGGCAACGTTTATCAGCAAGAAGGTGGTCAAATCAAGCAGGAGATTTGCATGAATTGTTTTTCTATGCTTATCACCTGTTTTGCATTCTTTCTTGCGCGAACTTTGATTAACAGAAGATTTACAACAAGGAAAGTTGCATTTTTTTCAAAAGAACAAGTGAAGCGATGTGTTCTTTTGGTTGGTGGGGTGACATTGGTGTCATTTTCCGTGCGTTTTGTAACTGGTGTCATTTGGGAAATGTGGTCCTTTTGAACCTCCTAATGTCTCATCTATTCTTAAGCCGTGATGGTGGTGAGCAATACACTAGATGTGGGTGATGCTCCATGGATTCAACTTGGAAAATGCATGAGAAATGAAGTGAAGCAGGGGTAGTTCGCACCATACTGCAGCTGAGGATATGTTTTTAATGTCTACCAGGCTGATTAAACACACAAAACAGTTATTGGAAGAGAATGAAGAGAAGTTATGCATCAAGGTTCTACAGACTCTTCGAGAGATGATGACTAAGGACCGAGGATATGGCGAGAAGGTGGTATGTTTTTCTGCTAAGCCAGCCCCACTTGCTTTGAGTAGTTTGTTCATTGACTATTGAAATTAATTGATTTTTTTTTTTAAATTTCCTTTTCTTTCAAGCAACTGAAATTGAAGTTGCTGGAAGATCTTGATACGGTGCAATAGTACTGCTTAACACATCCGATAGAAATCCTTATTGTGTGACAAAATAGCCATTATGTCAATTGTCTGAGCGGTTTTGTAAAGCTTAACACAAAACAAATAGAAAGCAATAAAATAATGGGTTATGTTCCAGATGATTGATGGACTATAAGGTTTTTACCACCACCTTCTGTCATCCATGTACCATGGTCATTAATCTGAAGTCAGTACATTTTTTGCATCCAGTGATTGACCATTTCTGCATGTCATGCTGGCTCCTTCTTCCAAACACCCAGATGTTCAGCCACAGACCTCACTTTGCATCTCTTCTCCTGCTGCCTATCACTCCCAGATGCCCCCACCATGCCACTGCCCCTACCCCACCCCCTATCAAACGAAACTGCATGGGATCCGTCAGTGCTGGAGCTGGCTTGCAAAGATGAGTGACGTACATTTGCAGAGAAAACACTTTGGTACTTCAGAATTCATATCAAATTTGGTTATAAATTACCAGTGCATTAGAGGGTCCTATTTCCCTGTACTACATCGTGGACCTCCTTGGGTGTCGGATCTTCAGGGAATAAGAGGATTCCACTCTCAGTCGATGGAAAAGTATCCACAGATGGGTAAGGGTCACTGAATCTATCCCTTGAAGGAGTAATGAGAAAGGCAGGTTAATCAAGTTGAAGTAGGATTTGAACATCCCAGTGAGTCTGTCGCTTTCATACAGATTTCTAGTTGAAGATCTGTGAGCTGGCCTTGCGTACAATAGAAAGCATCATGGATCTGATCTGGGCTCCAATCCAGGGACCGCGAGTGAAGTACAAAGAAACGTTAAAAAAATGAAGATTTATTTTGTTCTAATCTTAGCCATCACCTTGACTCATGCTGAGCTACTTTTGAACAAATGTTTAAACAGGTTTCTTCTTCATTTACCCCAGACCACTGTCTAGAGTTTATTATTATAGTTAAGGGAGCTGTATGAGAAGCAGGAATTAGCACTTCATCTGCTACCTTTGACAAACCTTGTTTATCACTCCCGCAGTTACTAGGAAATATGTTGCGTTATCTGGGAGACCTCCAGGAAACTCCATAATCCAAAATTATAGCCCTCAAATTATCAAGAAAATACCTGAGTTCTGAGTTCTGTCTTGTAGTCTGTCCACAGAGAACCTGCTGAAATCATAAGCATTGGATGGTCACCTGGCTAAGATTTTATGCTTTCTGTTAAAATCCTGTTGGGGTCTGCTAGCATTTAAAGAAGAAATCCAAACTCTTATCAGTTAACTGACAGAATTAAGCAGGCAAGCACCAATAATTTAACGCTCTTCCAAGTAGTTTATATCTGCATATATTATCAACTCAACTTTGCTTTTTTGTTCCCAACCCCTCAAATTCCCTTGCACGTTGCAACAGTCTTGAAGACTCATTCACCCTTCATGTGATCAACACAAGGCATGCCACAGCCCCTCCTTTACCTGGAATTCACTTTGCTTTCTCTTCAGTGTTTCTACTTTTCTCCAAGATAATACACTTGGGGTCTTTCTTCCAGTTAAGTGACCCTCCAATTTTTTTTTTGTACAGACCTCAAAACTGTTGATGATTTGCCTCCTTGTTGCCAGCACACATCCGAGTTCCTTCCTGCAACTTTCCAAGTCCAGCCTGCTAACTTTTTTCTTCCACAAGGCTAGAGTGCATTGTCCACCTGATTTTTTTCCTCAAAACCCAAACTGCAGCGAACAATGATATTAGGTCTGAGTTTCAAGTGGAGAAATACTAATTATCGATTCCTAATGCATTTCTCAATCTAATGAATTGCCACAACAACCTCATGACTGCCTCTCTCAATTCTCAAACTGACCTGCCCTCTTCTGTTAGTAAGCATGTGCATGCAAATGAAGAAAAGATCCTACAAACCCCTCATCCCAATTCCACAACAACACAGTATGCTTTGAGATGATTCAAACAGATGAGTTTACCATCAGTATAACTCTTTTATTATGTAACCCATAAGAATAATTTATATAACTAATGGGAATTTCTGACCCTTTAATTGGATGAATCCAGTTGTATTCCTTTTTCATTTAATAGCCTTCCATCTCATGAGATGGTGACTTGTGACTTGGTGGCCAATTCTGTTATACAATGCCTAATGTGTTTCAGGAGTTCACTCAGGCATGGAAGTCTTGCTGCACATGCTGAAAATGAATGCAGGAGCGTTGCGAGATGGAGAATTTCCTGGTCTCTGATTTCTCTCTGCTCACGCCTCAGCCTGATGAACTTTGCATTTCGCACTGGTTTTCCAGTGCCCCTGCAACTGGTTTTATGTTTGGCAGTTAAAGAAGTTTGGGCATCATTCCCTCTTTCAAGTTTGATGTGATTATTAACTTAGCTGAGGCTTTCAAAATGTTGATGGTATGTATGTTGTTGCAAATGCAAAAGATGGGGTCACCTTCCTCATTCTGTTATTGAATAGATTACCTTAAAATCACGGGCACCTTTTCCTCCACAAAGAAACATTAGTCAAATTATTCACCTAGTAGTTGATGGCCTTTAGCCTGAAGACGGTTGGGATGGAGCACCTCTAACTCCTCCTCTGAAGAGTATTCTGCTAGTGGACCCTCACCATTCCACCATCCTCCCATATTGCTACTAGGGCATTGCTGTTACATTGAGCAGATCAGTTCATGATTGACTCATAGATTCGTTACTACATAAAAGGACAACCTTCTGCTTCCAATTTGTGTCAGCATTACAGACTACCACCTGGATTTGGCTACAACATGGGCATCGACTTGAACCTATTACACATCTTTACAGTTGGTTATGGCTAATGGAAAGAAGTGTTCGTACTTTTGGTAAACCAGTACTAATAGTGTCACTGGCAAGGCACTTGAATAGCGGTTCCATTCCAGCCTCTGAGCTATTTGAGAAGAGTCTTATCCAGAATTTGGAGAAGATTTTCATGGACTATCTAAGTTGAATGGAACAATCTTTTTATTTCAGTTGAGCATTTGAGGTACAGGAGAGCTATCATCTCTGTTGTGACGTCTAATAAAATTGCAGCTAATCAAGAGATCACTTGTCAATGACGATAATTCGCCAGGCAAATTTCATTTTGATTTCCTTCCCTTTCTGAAAAATTGTTGCCATATCTTTTCCCAAATCTCTGAACGTTTATGTTGCTGAAAACAAGATCATGACTCTCCCATAAAGAAAGTAAGTGACAATGGGGCACTTGAGTAGTTCTTCTGTAAATCACCAATTGGTTTTGATTGAGTAAAGTGTATTTAAAAAAAGATTGTGCTTAAGTGGCAAAGAGTTGTATTAAGTTTACCAAATGCACTTCTCTGCTTGAAGAGCACTGGACTTCATGGATGTGGGTATCATTGGCAAAGTCAGCATTTGTTGCCCGTCCCTAATTGCTCTTGAACTGATTTGGGTATCTAGACCACTTCAGAGGGTGAGGAGTCACTTGTAGGATGGCAGATTTTCCATCCCTCAAGGACATCAACAAACCAGAGAGGCTTTTCTCTTTGTTCCTGATAGCTTAAACTATTTTTTGATTCCAGAGTTTATTAAATTCCAATTTCAAGGTCTCCCATGATGAGATTTGAACACAAGTTCCCAGAACCTTAGCCTCAGGCTCTAGATCACCAGTCTAATGATATTGCCACTACACTACAATATACAAATCATGAATTTGAATAATGCATCTTTGAAAACTAATCTTCCTCCTTTACTTTCTTCCCTTTCACATCATACTACCCAACCCCATAACCCATGTAACATAGACTTTAGACCCATGGTATGTGGAGAACCTAGTTCAAAGAATCCAGGCAAAGCCACAATTTGAGAATCCATTTCTTTTTCCAGATATGTGAACCATTTTTATCCATGGCTGTTCACCTTGTATCATTATTTTTTTTTAAAAGATGGTCCTAAGATACCTGCTGTCACAGAATTATGTTTGACCTAACATAGAATTGGTAAAGTAGACACCGTTTACAAAAAGTTGTCTCCATCTTATCCAGCTGATCTGTAAGAGATATGGGAGCCTTGGTACAGGGTCCTTCATATTTGCTTCGAGATTAAAGGATCAGTAGAGTTTGTGCCATTGATCTTCAAAATCCAAGGGTAGGAGTGGGAGAAGAATTGAAAGCCTGGTTATTTTTTGCACTCTATTTATTTGTGTTTTCTGGTGCTACAAATTCAGATAAATCTGTATCCATTGAGACATTATATCATTGATCACACTCAAATAAAACTAACCGCTCAGACATTCTTGATCAGAATTTTAATTCATGTATTGTGTAAGAAATTTGGAAATAAGCAGGAAGGTACCCTATTACTTTTCAAGAGGGACAGTTGATGAGGTACACTTTCTGTTGGAGTAAATCCATAGGTTTGAACCTCAAAATTCACAGCTTCTCGAGAGTGAAGTGTTAACTTTCTAACAAGCTCCTGGTTAAAGGTCAGCTGTAAAATGAGTTATTTGAAACCAATACTTCTTTCCTCAAGGTCTGAAGAGAGAAGCAAAAGGGTAAGATGAAAGAGGGTAGTGGCGTAATCGATTAATCATCCATTTTACAAACTTCATGTGAAACTTGACCTGCGGAAGGGCACAAAATAAAGTGCCTGAAATAATGCATTTGTTCTCGCGTACATGGTCTGGAGGTAAAGGTGAGAGCAAAATGAAGAAAACCTCTTGCTGTAGAGTCTGTCAACCAAGATCTTTTTTAAAAAAAAAAAAAAAAAAATTTCATTCCACTAGGGGGCAGGTTTTGAGCCAATTCTGATGTAGACCCCACAAAGGAGAGAACTTGAGTTGCACTGCAAAAGTATACCCTTGTATGATATGTAGCATTGATATTTGCT